TGCGCATATAAATATTTCGCGAAATATATTCCGCGATTTCTAGTTTCATCCCTTTTAAGCTAGGTTTAGATATTTTTGAGCTTACACCACACTGCAAACTCTCTTTTACGACGTAGGGCAAGTTCAGATCAAAGCAATTGTCTAGACTACTCCGCAAAACCAAGATTTTCATGTGCGCATATAATTATTTCGCGCACTGTATCTTCCGTTGTCGTTAGCGTGCGTCCGGTCATCCCGCCGGTCGTTGTCCTTCGGTGGGTTCGCAAATCTTTGCAGAATTGTATACGTAATCCGTCGGTGGGTTGGTAAATCTTTGCGAGGGAAGAGGCACGAGCGGCGTCGCCATGGCGAGCACCACCTTCCGTGGTTTGAACAGCGGCGAGCTGTACTGCCGAGTCGTGTCCAAGCAGGCATCTTCAGGAACTGCTCCATGCGCGGTGGTGTCTCACCTGAACGCGGACATGGCAACCTTTCTCAGTCTGCCGCTGCCGGCGCCGTCCGAGCACACTGCCAAACGAGCATTCCTTCGTGCCCACCGAGCGCAGCGCCGGGTATCCTTTGCGTACAGCGATCGCATTGCTCATCGTGGAGCGTATGGTAGCGAAAAGCTCAGTTCCAGATCGATCACATCCGCGCCACGGCTGCCGCTGTGGCCTCTCCGACGACCACCGCAGTGCACGTGGAAGCGCTGAGTTGCACGGCAGAAAGCTACGTGACAGAGTTCGCGTCCTGTCGACGCATCGTCGACGAAGCTTTGATGGGGTACGTGCTGCGGTTCTACGCGACGGTCGAAGCGGAGCGGCGGCACATTCACCATGTACGGGCCATGGCGCAAGCGGTGGTCGACGCCGCCTTGAACCGTGCCAAGCGCAATCTGCACCTCGAGTACGGCATCCATAAACACATTGCTTGGAGGATCCCCATCTTCTCACGAATGTCTTCTCGTTCGTGATCCATGTCTAGCATCTTTGCCCTCTACTTGGAATCCGACTCTGCCGGGCAAGTACAGTTTCGAAGACTCGACCCGTCCCATCCCCAGGGCGTGCGATGTCGCCGCGCGGCACTCGAGAACGCCAGGTCCCATGCCCCTCGTAAGTATGAGTGCATGGTTGCATGTGTGGGAGTTGCGATGCTGCATGCACGGCTTTGCGTATTTTATCGCCCTTGTCGGCGCGCTTCCCGCGGTGCTATTGAATTGCGTGCTATGCCTGACGTTGTTCGGGCGCTTGTCTCGCAAGAATTCCACATGCATCTTCCCGTTCTCGCTTCTCAATGGCGCTCGACGTGAGCACGTCTGCAGATGTCAGAGTGGTGTTTGAGGTCGTCGAGACTGCTCCCTCCTGTTGTTCTTTCCTTGACCACTCCACTGAACAAGTTGGCACTCGAGTGTCGCGGCCACGGTGCCACCGCGACCTCAACTAAATGTCGTGGATATCGTGCAGGGATGCAAGTGGTCGACGTGTATAAAATTGAAAACCCAACCGTGTTAGACCGCTTCCAGTCGATCGTGGCGTCGCTGCCGTCTCCAAAAGTAAAGGGACTGTTTTGCACCGTGCCAGCGACTGCGATCGAGCGGTGTGTCGCGTACGGCATGCATGCCGGCAACGACGGCCCGGTTGCCGTCTTCAAGGCGAGCTGGTATTCGATGGACAATGGTGCCGGGTCGACGGCCACGTATGCCCAACAAGTCGCCACCGCAGCCACGTTCATGGAGGTACAATCCGTCCTCCCCTTCCTCTATGGAAGCAGCGCACTCGACGCTGGTCGACACATGCCGAACGCACTTTCATTCACGTTGTGCAGTTTCCCAAACGCTTTTCGCGGTATAGTTCCCTCTCGGACGCCATGGACTTGGCAGCGGACACGACCACTCCAGGGACGGAACATGATCCGTCCCAAAAGACGACGCAATTTCTCGCGCTCTGTCGTGTAGTCATGCAGCACGTTGCGATTGTCCCGTCGGCCTCGGCATCGCCGTCGTTTCCGCCCACATCGATTGACACCATGTACTTCCACGCCGAGGTACACTCGACTCGCTGATGACCTGTTGGCAATTGTTCCTGAGCGAGGCTGGCGCTTTCCACGACATGACTCGTTCGTGGTGCTTAACAGATTTGATGGGGTGGTGGCGTGTAGGAAGAATACTTTGTGCGGCACGGACACTACGTGGTGCCAGAGTTTTTGATCCAAGTGAGTTGATACATCGTTTGTCGCCAGCACTTTGCAACATGGCGTGGACGAGAGGTCATGACATGACTAGGTCGAAGTGGACGCTTCCGTCGCGCCGCTCGGAGCCTGTCCATCCAACTCGGCGGCGGGAATCGAACACGACCACGAGGATCTCCCCCCAGTGCTCGCACCGACGCTACACGGGCCACATGATGCGCTGCCTCGCCCGACAGCATTTCCATTTGAACCAGCAGCGCCTACAAACGTTGGTGGCGGAGGGTATGGCAACAATGCGGTGAAGGGACTGCGCAAGACCAAGCCAGAATTGTTTGGTACGACTGCACTACGTGCCGAACCCGTCCCCGTCGTTTCCGAGCCGTGGACGCCCGACCAGTTGAAAACGCAGTGGCAGGGCGTGCAACAGAGTGTTTTCCACGCGACCGTGGCTGCACTCCATGAATTTTGGGACCACATGGGGCAAGCGTGGCGTCTCCACCGCGACAACTCAACGTCGTCGAGCCTCGGGCCCAATAACCAAAGCGCCAGCGATTCGCATGACCCGCTGGCATCCGACCAAACCAACAAAGCCAAGGTCAAGTCGTCGCTCCAGTCCAAAGTCAAATCGGTTGTCGCGAGAAGCCCATACTTGCCTGCGCCGCCTGGTCGATAGCAGTGTCGAGCCATCCGTCTCGATCGTCGACACGGCGTTGGTACAGTTTCAATATCTCGCACGAGGGCCGTCAGAGATTCATATGTGGAGACTGTGCGCACCCACGTAGCTCGTTCACTGGGAAACGATGCACACTCCTTGAACAGAATCGTTGTAATCGAAGAGATCCATCAGGGGCGTGACACAACAGCGTTCAGCAGGCCGGGCGGTCACGGTAGTAGAGCGTGCATTGGAACGTTGCGACATTCGCCGGGGGCTTTCAGTCCATGAGATGCCCCGGAGGGCCATCGCATGCGTCTCCATCGCCGAAAGCAGCGACGTTTTTGTCCGTTCTGGCAGTGCCAGGGCCAAGCTTAGCGTCACTCGACTGAAGTTCCTACGACAGATCGATGGCCAAGTCCAGCATCCTCTTAAAAGGAAACCAATGGGGGAAATCGTGCACAAACGTCGCTGGGGATGCCTTGGCCATGAAGGGGTTTGTAGTCTGGACTGGCGCAGGGGGGGGGTCGAGACGGAGATGGTCACCGCTTGTCGCTCACATGATTTCCTCGAGGTGATGTGGGGGAAGCAGACTGGTCAGAATCCCATCTCGACATGGCCTCCTCTCTTTGTCTGCGCTTCTCCAGCCTTGCCGCGCCTATCGAAACGAAAGCAGGTCCTCCTTCGAGCCTCTAGAGTCGGCTATAACGTCCACAAGCCCCCCTTTCTGAAGCACTGGCAGTCGCTGAAACAACGCCCCTCCACAGTGAGCGTGATGTTTGACTGACTCGGTGGTTGGCTCGTGTGACGAGCGCATGTATAAGGACGCATTTAGACACACGACCTGTTCGAGTAACGTTGCCAGGTACACACCCTCGCCAGCCACGATCGATCGTGGCGGATGGCCGAGGCAGTCTTTCAAACACATTGGAATTGGGGGAACGTGTGCGTGCTGGCCCCCCCAATGAACAGGACGCTGCCCCTCCAAGCGAAGCGGCTCGCATGCGTGGCAGTGTGTGTGGGCATGTGGGATGACGCAGGTGGAGGTCGGCTTTGCGACCCCCTCGTGTGCTGTAAAATCATTTGCACATGTCCGACCGTCGTGGCACCACTCGTCCCATTTTGAACTGAAGTGGGGGCTGGCTGATCTCGCGGTTCAAAGTCGCAGCGTTCTTGCGAATGATAAAAGCACGCGTGACCAAGGTTGACGGCAATCCAGCAACCAACGCGGCGCGGCGCCGCAACGAGTACCAGCGCCACGCGCAGAAACGATTCCGAAAAGTACGGTCAGGGAAGCGCCAGCAGCTCTGCCAGCTCGTGATCGAGCTCGAGGCCGAGAAAGTCGCTGCGCGGTCGCCGGACGCAACTACCGACCGCCGTATACCACTGGCATGCTCTCGTGGGCGGACATTGCGCTCGCGCTGCAAGACGCCACCCAGGTCAGTCGATCCAAACTGTCGGACTTCAGGTTCGCGTCGTGAACCAAGCCGGCTTGGCCGTGCGATGTGGGTCTATGTATCCAACGTCATGGCCGCTCGGGTACGACATGCGCTCATCTTCATTCAATGCCACTTCGGATACATGGATGGCTAGACTTGCTTGCGCCAAGGTGGCGGCATTGTCGAAACGTGGCAGCATGTGTCGCTGCCGTCGGCGCCGCTGGCGAGACACCAAGGACTCGATTGGATCACGTCGCAGCTGTACCACACAACACGGGACGCAGTGCTGGCGGCGCAGGGGTTTCCGGCCTCGCACCACCGTTTCATTGACATTCAAGGGGAAGACGATGGATCGCATCGTCCTGTGGTCACGATCCAACATCAGCGGGTGGTGCACGAGCCATGGACGGCCATCACAGCCCGGTGCCATTCGTTTGTCATCGAGTCGAATGGCTTTGGCTACGACTCGGTCGAGACTCTCTGCGACGACAACGGCGACGCCTAGTAAGGTACGGACGGCGTCCGGCGTGGAAGGCGCCGTGTTGCTGGCCACGTTTACAACCCCACCCAACTTCTTTCATCGTGTACGCAGCCCAACCATCCGTGGTGGACGGACCAACGGATGGTCTACCGCCGCCGCAACATCGGGAATCCCGTCGTCGGCGACGTCGTCATGCAAAATGACGTCCGTCGGCAGTTCGTCGACCCCACGAGGTCCGTTCACGTCGCTCGCAACATCCTTTCCGACGACAAGCATCCCCTTGGGGCACTTGCTCGCGATGGTTGTCGCTGGTACGGCGCGCATTGCGATCGTAGTGGCGATGTGTCTGCCGTAGGATTGGCACGCACAGACTGGTCGACACAACACGTCGTTGGTGACAGAGTGCTGGACGGTGTATTGGTTCCGGCGGGGCGATGCGCTCGCATCATGGCAGGACGAAGCGTCCTTCGACAAGGTCCCGGTGGACCACGGCCATCGCGACGCCCCCACCGACGCCCAACGAACGTTGCTGCCCATCGACAAGGCCAAAGTGTCCTGGCACGTCGCAACACCATTTTTCAACGCGTAGAAGGTCTCGGACGTGAACCCACTTCACCAAAACTCAACGCGGGGTCCCCCACCACAACCCACGATCTCGAGTCGGATGCCACAGCTACACAGGACGAGAGCCAAACGAGATGCAGCATCATCCGCGTGAACATCAAACTCCAGGAGGCGGCATTCGGGCCAACACCACGGGTCCAACTGTGGAGACCTTTCTTGTGGTCCACGGGAATGCCGACGCACGCCCACTCGGCACCATGTGCACATGGCGGCGCACGACGCAGCAAAGACTTTGCGCATCCGAGCCACGACGTCGCGGTACGACCGGCGCATGTCCTTTGGACCAATTCAGTTCGTTGGCGAACAGATATTGGGCTTTTTTCCAGCCCACGCTGGCGACGCCCTCGTGTTGTCCTCGAGTACTGGATGGTTCCGCGATCGGAATCGCGTTGGTTGTCGTCAGCGGGCTTTGCACCACCGGCGCCGCTGCTGCATGGTTTGCCTCTTTCGCGGGCAAACGACCCACGACCGACATCGACGTCTGGAAAAAAGCCCAATATCTGTTCGCCAACGAACTGAATTGGTCCAAGGACATGCGCCGGTCGTGCCGCGACGTTGTGGCTCGGATGCGCAAAGTCTTTGCTGCGTCGTGCGCCGCCATGTGCACATGGTGCCGAGTGGGCGTGCGTCAGCACTCCCGTGGACCACAAGAAAGGTCTCCACAGTTGGACCCATCGACATCCCCGTCGGACCCAGACCGAAACCTGTTCTCCTTCGTGTGTGGAGGAAAACTACGTTCGTTTCGATGCATGCAACGCACATCCAGTCGGGAGCGGTTCAATGTACAAGCAGCCCATACAGCGCTGCTTATCCAGCTACATCATGCCGCAGCAGGTGGGCCGGTCGACGTCCGGCCGCGCTTTGCCTCCCGGTAGCATCGACGGGACGCCACCCACGACGACGGTCGCGAGGGACGGTGGCTCTGGCATCATCTCGTTTTGCGCGAGCAAGTCGATGTAGATCTGCTGCGCCGTCTTGCCGCCGGTGGTGTTGGCGATCGGTTTGGCTTGCTGTAGCCCTGCCGTGCTCGTCGGGCGCGACTGCTCCATGGTGGCCACGGTCAACGGGGTCGTCCACAGCGCTTGTCCGTTGGACGCGTACGTGCGGCAGAGCCCAGCGTAGTCTTTGTCGTGGTCATACTTTTTGAAAAATCGCTCGAGTTCGCGAAGGGCAGCGCCACGGATGTGCTGGACCGGCACGCCCTCGTCCTCGACCGCACGCTGCAACACGTCAAAGTCAAACACGGACGACGTTTTCTTGGCGTTGTCGATTTGGTCGCCCAAGTCGTCGATCACACGAGGGTCCAGCGACGGCAGCCCAAGACACGACAAAAGGCCCGCGATCGTGCTCACGCCTTGGAGCAGGCGGAACCCCGTCTGAAGGTACGGCATCGCGGCCGACATGAACTGCGTGTACTCGTCCGACTTGGTTTCGATGCGGATCGGGTAGACCGACCCCGGCGGCGGCACGACGGGAAGCCCGAGGACCTCGTCGAGGAGGTACAAGAAGAGGGGTTCGCCCGGGCCGACGAGGCGGAGCGCGCGCCCGATCGCTTTGTTTTGCTTGACTGCGTGCATAAAGTTGTGGCCCATGTCGATGCCTTTTTGAACAAACGACGTCACATCTCGGAGCACATCTTCTGCGTCGTCGTCGACCAACGGAGGGGTCGTCAAATCCATGGGCAGCACGACAAATGACGTCGGAAACGCGACTTCGGTCGCTTCAAAGATGCCTCGCATCAAGTCCGTCTTGGCATCGCCCACCGCCTTGAGGGTTTCCCTCGTCACGAAAACGACTTCGTCCAGCCGCGTCGCGACGGTTTGAAATCCCGACGCCACTTGCACGTGGAGCGCATCCAACTTGTCGAGCAACAACTGACCAGACGCGTCGTCGTACTTGACTTCAAAATACGGATGCGCCAGGATCCCCGCGACCGAGATGCGATCGTCCGGGTCGACGACCAGCAGCTTGGCGATCAAGTCGCGGGCCAGCGCGTTGCTCACTTTGTTGTTCAACCGCTTGGCCACGTCGGCGTCGGTCCACGTCGCCGCGCGGACGATTCCGGATTCGTCCACGTCTTGGTTGATGTCGGTCGGAACGAGCTCGACGCCGCTGTACATTTGGTACATGACAACGCCAAACGCCCACACGTCGATGGCAGGAGATGCCAGGACGGGCTTGAATGGTAACGTCGTGGAGGCGGATACGTCGTGGAAGGTCTTGACGCAGTAGTGGTGGCGAGGCTGAACTTTGGCCCACAACTCGGGGTTCGCGTCGACCTGGTCGTTCCAGTGCGCCGCGATGGCGGCCGCGTCGCGGTCGCCCTGCAGTCGGTAAAACATTTCTAGCCACGATGAGCCAAGCGCGCGATATCGAGACACACGTACCAGGCGGCAAACTGCCCGAGCTAAACTTGGCTCCAATGGGGTTCCCGATCGGCGTCGCGGCGTCCATGTCAATCACGCGCATGTGGTGGTTTACGCGGAGGATGTTGAGTTTTTTTAGATCGCCGTGGACGACGCCGTGGTCGTGCAAGTGCTGCAGCGCTGCCGCCACTTCATGGAGCATGCTCCGGATCTGGTTGTCGTTCGGTCGTTCCTTGAGGAAAATGTCTTCGAGGCTCCGGTCCGCGGCCGGCATCACGAGAACGTTCGGGTACTGTTTCATGGCGACCCCGCCGTGCAGGTGGAGGGTCCCGACGTTGGCGTCGAACATCGGTTGTGGCAACGCCGGCAGCAGCCCCAGGACAAACTGAATGTCGAGGCCGTTGCGGGTCTCCACTTCCCGCGCGTGTTCGTCCGCGTTTCGCATGAATTTCATCGCGACCTTGAGCTTGCCGCCAAACGTTTGGTCGCAGTACCGAAGGTACTCGGTCGCGGACAAGTGGCCGCTCTGGTCCTTGTCCCAGAGGTCAAATTCGTGCGCCGACCCGACTTGCTACGCAACGACGCGTGAGCGTGCTGCCCCAACGATGCTCGAACCCAATGCAGAGCGCTGCCAACGACACGCGTCGTTCACAACGACATACGTGGACGGGGCTTACCTTTTTGATGTCGGCAGCGCTGGGCTGCTGGCCCAGGACTCGGCCACATGCGATAAAGCCAGCCTTGTCCAGCTCGCCGTCGGCGTTGGCATGCATGTCAAACACTTGCTGGAACACGCCGTGGTCGTACGCGTGCACCACGACCGCCGTCGAGCTCACGTGGATCGCCGGGCCGTCGAAAATCTCGTACCGACCACAGAAGAAGCGTAAGCCGTTCAAAAAGTCGCGGGTCGCGGCGTCGGTGGTCTGCAGCGCTTCGCGGCCGTGTTGGTCTTTGGCCGTCGCGAGCTCTCGAATCCATTCGTCGTCGCCGGCGCGGAGCATCGTCGACACAACCGACACACGCACGGCGGGGTCGACGGGCACATGCGAGTCCAGGAACGTTGTCCACGAAAACGAATGGTTGTCGCGCGCCGACACTACACCAGACTCGCTCTTCTCGACGGGGAAATCCAACTGCAGCAGACGCAACGCCACGTCGTGCGTCAAAAAGGGCGCCACCCATTCGAGAATGAGCTTGTCCTGGTCGCCAACGTCGTGAGGGGCTGGCGTCAAAGACAGCGTTACCTTGAAATGGATGTTGCGCACAGTCATCCCGCTCGCAACAAGGACGACCGCCACTTGGTACTGTTCGTCCTGTAGGGCCAACTCGAGGCACGAGTTGCCGTTCTACGTTGGCGCGGTGGGGGATGGATGGATGGATATCGAGACTTGTTTTGGGTGACTGGATGGCTACATTGGCAGCTACCAACCTTGTCGAGGATGGACGTGTCGGCGCCATGCTCCAACAGCATGCGGATGACGTCCAAGTTGTCGTACTGCGCCGCTTTCGCCAGTGCTGTTTGCTGGCGCTACATCACGTCCAGCCATGCGTTTGGTTGAAGCAGCAGCAACGAAGACGGGGGATGTCATACCGCGCCTTGGGCGTTGACCTGCGTGGCCGGGTTGGCCAGCAGCAGCGCGACGTTCTCGATGTTGCCGTCTTCGGCGGCCGCAATGAGCGGCGTGTCGCCATACTACGGGCTTGTACATGATTTCCGAGCGAGGACGAAAGGCCGGACGCACCTTGTCTTTAAAGTTGACGTCCATGTCATCCCGTTCAAGGAGCGCCGCGACGACTTTGGTCTTTCCCGACTGGCACGCGGCGAGAAGGGCGGGATGGCGGATCTACCAAGCATGATGCCGTCGCTCAGCTCCACTCGATGAAATCAGAGCGGCGCTGGCTCGCAGGACACAATGCTCGATCGCATCGCGCCGAATGCACCTTGTCATCGACTTCGGGGCGGTCCAAAAACAGCTTCATCGTGTTCACGTGTCCGCTCTCGCAAGCGACGACGAACGGCGTGACATCTCCCTACCGTGCCGATCATGACAACAGACATCGAATGCCATCGCTTGGGCACGTGATTCGAGCGGTCGGTCCAGCGAGACCGCAGCGTCCTGCGTCAACGTACGTCGCTCGGCAAGTTGACGTCGATGGTTGGCACTTGGAGCAGCTCCCGGACAACGGCGACTTGGCCCTTTTCTGCAGCTTTGTACAGCGCCGTTTCCTTGTACTAGATCGACAACGTTCAGCTGAGAGACTGCGCCGAGAGAGGTTGCGAAGGACAACGGACTTCGCCTCGAAAGTTGACGTCGATCTTGCCGGACGCGACGAATTGACGCACGACGGCCAACTGGCCTTGCTCCGCCGCCACAATAAACGCCGTGTTTTCGTTCTAGAATGGGACCCACGCGCGTGTGTGGTCATGTTCGCTCGTCTGCTGCGTGGAGCCGCACCTCATCCACGCCATTCACGTCAATGTCGGCGCGGTCCAAAAACCCCTGGACGAGCTCCGTGTGTCCCAACGCCGACGCAGCAATCAACGGCGTCGCCTTCCACTACGCCCGTGACACGGTCAGCACTTACACGACCGATCGCTGCACGTACGTCTCGCTTGCGCTTGTCCTGGAACACGTACAAGCCGTTCATGTTGCATTCCCCCGACAGTTCGGTGAGGAGGACTTGGAGCGTGTCGCCTTCCGTGATGGCCTTGACCAGCGCATCGTTCACTTGGGCCTGCACAGAGCCCACGTCAGGTATTGTGCGCCACACGCACACCGGACGCGCGCGTACCATGGCGGCAATTCGGTTGTGCTTCGTTGATTGCGTCGGGAGGCGTCATCCAGCCAACGTCGTTCGATTGTGTGGGATTTTTCAAACTACGAGCTCAAAATTGGCAAAAAAGTCGTTGCGTTGCACAGATTTTACACGAAAATGGCCCCTTTTTCGTCCATCCCACACGAACAATCAATGGGAGAGGCCAGAGAATCGGTCCAGACGGGTATGTAGCGCGGCTGTCGGCGGCGCGTCATCGACGCCGCCGTGCCCAGGCCTTCCCTGAACAAACTCAAAATCCTGCTGCGCCATGGAACGAGCGACGCCGTGGCCGGGAGCCCTCTGCGACGTCGTCCACAAGCGGAGGTGAGCTGACCGCAGCCGAGGTGCAGCCACCGGCGTGCCACTGCAGCCGAGCCGGAAAATAGTCCACTCGACTTTCCATGAAACGGTGCGATTGTGGTCGCCTCAACGATTTGCACTCCGCGACAAGGTCCGTGCAATCGAACTGGAGCGCTGGCGCGGAGAACGTCGGAAGGATCGAGTTGGAATCGATGGGGAACATGTCGCGTGGGCGGCCTCCCGTCGTCCCACGGCGTCGGTCGAGCCCCTTCCACCCATTCATGTCTGTTACTCGAGTCAGTCGTGCCCAGAGCCTCCGAGCACAGCTCCTGCCCGTCCATGACGGACAGCGAGCATGAGAGCTCCAGTGTATTCAACGCTCCCTGACCACACAGCCTACGATCGAGTTCCTCCATTCCCGTGGGGACCAAAAACGCGTATCGATTTACTTTCAAAAAGTGCGAAAAGGGTGCTGGCGACGACCCTTCCGTCGGGGGCGAGGCCGGCAGCATCACCATGTTGGGACGACGATGTCGGACGATAATCAGCAGCACGTATGCTTCATTCGGTGGCGTCGAGCTTGAGGTCCCGTCGTTGCTTGAGTGCCTTGAGGGACTTGCCTTGCTTTTGGCGACGCCACCACGTTTTGGCGCTGTTGGCAAACAAGAGCGGCGGCGCCACGAGGACGGTCGCAACCCCCACGCCGACGGCCACGACGGCGAGCGCCGCCACAACCACGACAGCTTTGGTCACGGCTCGTACGGGCGCGGTAGGCCCAAGCGATGTAGACGTCGATGTGAGGAACGCCCTCGGCTTGCACATGACGTCCGCGTGGTCTTGCCACTCGACGCGGCAAAGCCAGCAAAAGTCAAACGCGCAGTAGATGCACGTCATGTGCGTACACCCGCCGGTTTTTTCAATGGCGGCGTGGCACTGCGGACACGTCCGCACGTCGTTGTGCTGTTTCCATCGTTGGAACGCTTTGTCCTGTCGGCACCCAAAGAGATGGTACGGGTCGCCGCAGTGGTTGCAAGACGACACGTGGCACGTGGCACAGGTGAGTTTGCGACCGGCCACCGTCACGTCGCGTCCTTCGCAGCGCGGGCACTCGATCGGCGTCGCCGCGGCGTCGACCAAGTCCACGTATACCTGGTAGTCGTCGTGGGAAGTGTATGGAACGACCGTGTCGGGGGACAGCATGGCCGGGCACCGCACCCCAGGGCACGTCAACCGCATGGCGCGACGGCGCCGGCTCCGTCCCGTCTCGGCAATCGTCATGTGGACGTATTGGAGCATGCAGTCGTGGCACACACTCGCGCCGCACACCCCACACACGTACGTGGCGGTCGCCGCGGACGTCGAGTCGTGCAACTCGTCCAGGCAAACGGCACAGGAGAGCGGCGGATGGTGGCGTTTCGTCGAGGGCGGGCCAGATGGGTCGTGTGGGGCCGCCGCGTCGAGAGATGCGGCCGGCGGCGACCTGTGGACCGGACGACCTGTGTGGAGCATCGAAGTGCCAAACTGAGTTGATTCGATGGCGATGGTTGTGGCAAGCCGCCCATCTCGATGTCGTGCCGCAATGTGGATAAGAAGAAGCTACTTGGACACAGTACACAAGTTGAAATTTCGAATTTGCCACATGCTATGTACGGTGGATGCAGCGCGTGGCGTTGGCCTGAGGCGTGCGAAGAGGGGGATGCGCACGTCATGTCGAGAGGGGGGTGGCGCCGTGGCTCGACCCAACAACTCAGGCGGCTGGTCGATGGGTTGTTGTTGTTGCGCCAGGAGGCAAGCACGTCACGTCCGTTCCGCCGGCGTGCTCGGTTCCTACATCCGCGCCAGAAAACGTGGCGTTTGTGGGCGAGAAGGCGCACCATACGATGCTGCCGCGACGTGGTGTTGGGAATGCCACTCCATGCGAGCGCAGAGTGCCAACCCTGGCTCGTCGGGTTGGTTTTCGCGGCGCAAGCGACACCGACCACCACAGCCACCATGGATGCACTTTCTCGTTGATCCAGGCCAACGTGACGCCACTTTGCAAGATAGTTGTCGCCTCGAATGGACGGCACCAACCGTGTATGTGTCGCTACGATGGTTGCATGACGCAGCTGCGACTGCTTCCTCTGCTGTCCCCTGCGCGTGACGTCGCCTCCGTCGCACGTTCGCCGCTCGCGCAGATGCGTCGAGCGGTCTGGTAGGGGGGATGCAGGCACAGAATGTATTAACCAATGGCATCGCTTGGTTTGGTTCGGGAGGACATTTTAGCCAATGGCCTTTGAGAGGGAATAGATCCAAAGCTAGAATGGCTGGATCTCGAGCAGAAGCCAGCTTGTGTTGCGTGTGCCACGTGCAGCATGCTCCGAAGGTCGACGGTACACATTGGCGCAGCGGCAGCTGCCGCCGTCCTTGCAAGTCAGAAGTCGCCTGGGAGCACGGCCCGTTGCGAAAAGATCTACGAGAGCGGGTAGGTCACGCATGCAGCTCTCGTCGTGCGCGCCAGGGCTGTTTTCGCTTCGGCATCTCATGCAATTTACGTACACAGCCAAGTCCTGGGCCGCGGGGTCAAGCTGGAACTGTGGAAAGCCAAGGTGCGTGCACACGCACTGCTCTGCCATGACGCTCGTGGTCCCAAGCGGAGGATAACTCAATGGCGGTCGTGGCGCATTAGCACAAGAACGTGGACGTGCTCGACTTGGAGAGCGAAACCATCCAAACAGGGCTGACGCACGTTCGCGATTATCATGCGACGGGAGCCAAGTTTGTCCACGTGGCCAATAAGTTGCTCCGCAACGTGCTGGAATCGGCGCTGACCCAGCTTCCCAACGATGAAGATGTGGGTATTCCCAATTGTCCATGGCATCACGTTCACGTCTGTAAATTCCCCGGTGGCAGGTGGTCGTTACGACTCCGTTGGGCCACAAGATCAAAGGCATCGATTACGAAGATGGCGTCAACGTGTGCGGCATAGCTTTGGTCGAGCGTGATCTCGTCCTAGAACAGTACGTCTGCCTCGCCTCGCTGGCCCTTCGAAACATCTCGTCATGGCTCGTTCGGCATGTTTCAACTCTTGTGTACATGGAGCACCCATCTCGTCACCGTTGATTTCGTTCAGGATGAACCTCCTCCTCAAGACGACACTCCCCTTTGATTCGGTAATCGGGCACCTCCAATTGAGCGCCAACTCGTCGACTCCCGGAGCGCTCGCGACAGCCACCCTCCCTGACGGCATCGAAGACATGCACGTTATCTTGGTGCACCCCGAATTCGCGTCGTTTGACGTGGTCCAACCTGCGCTGCAAGTGCGTTGCGATCGAGTGGTCGTGCGTGCTCATCTTGTCGTGCATAGCTCCTGCTGAAGAAAGGTGTACCGGAAGACCATATCCAAGTCGTCACGCTTGTGACGTGCCCTGCTGCAGCGGACAAGTTTTGCGCCGTACGTGACGGCTCCTCGTCCGATCGATTGACTCGTGGTGGTGTGCAGACCTTTGCGGACGTGAGTTTGGTCACGGCGGCATTCGACGCGACGTCGGATAGCCAAGGCCGCATTGTCCCAGGCCTGGGCAACTTTGAAAAACGCTATGCCGGCGACGCCATCGAAGTCCCCGACGTCTCCGACGACCAGGGCGACGGCGCTGGCACTGGTGGGATCACGTCGTGGTGGCCATTCAAGTAGAAATACAGTGTCGGCAAGTTCCAGCCCATCCATGCAATGTCGACCACCCATTGTCCAGAGGTTGAACATTTTGCCACCTGTGTGTTCAAGGACCAGTCCAACTGCACTGAGGACTTGCCACTGGGGACGATTGGAGCAAACGATGTCGCAGGCGCAGTTCCAGCAGAGGTCATAGCCGTCAAGGCACATTCAGTTCACTTGTTGCTTGCGCTGCTCTCGCCGCTTCTTGGCCTCGGCCCCCACGCGCTTAAACTTCATGCTTTTCGTCTTGGCGACTCCGCTGAATTTCTTGGGGTCGGCACTCGACATCCGCACTGGGTCGCGGCATCCCTTGCCGCCTTCCCAATGCGAGCTCGTGTTGGGGTTTCCGACAACGTTGCCGCAGGGACACTCCTTTTGTTGGCTCGAATGTTCGCGAGAGCAGAGACCACAGATGAACCGACTGGCAAAGATGTCTAGCATATTCACCACGGTCGGTGAACCAACCAGCGAGCGTGCGAGGTACCGTTGCCGGCGTCGGGACACGCCGAGGCGGCGTGGCAAACGTCACATGGGTACGCTTTCCCGCAACACTGGAATCGAAACCACCGGAGCGACTTGGAGTAGTGGGAGCAACGACCTTGGTTTGGCAGCGGCTGGCCGACGACCATCGCGTCGTCTTTGGTGAGTTTCTTCTTTGCTTTGGGCTGGCTGTGGTCGACAAAGCGGTCCACACTCTGATTGACGATCGTGAACGCCTTGCACTCGACCGCCATCTTGGCATGGCACCGCCGGCACACGACTTCGGATCGAATACGAGGCACGACGGAAACCAACCCTTCCTACTCGCCATGAACAGATCAAACGACGTGTCCTCGCTTGCGGCAAAAGTCGTCCAAAAAGACACTTCAAACTACTGCGACCTCGCAACGTCACACGGAAAGGAACAAGGGGTACCTCGGAACAACACGAACAAACCGCAAGGAAAACACTGGGGGGCATCACATCCACGAGCGTGCAGTTGATCAAGTGGACGTTCACCGCCAACTCGTTTGCAGTGTGCATCAAGACCGGGCGCAGTTCGACCGTTTGGAGCACACTGCAGCGCCGACACCACTGCCGGATCGTGTTTTTGGACAACGACAGGGTCGAGTCGAACGAGAGGGGGCACTGCGCGCACTGGAACGCGCACTTCCACGCGTGCAGTTGCAATGTGTCGATGTGGTGGAGGAAAAGGGCGTTCAGTTGGACGTGGATCGCTTTGGGGTCGATTTCGAGGTCGAGTTTGACTCGCGTCGACGCTGGAAGAATGCGCGAGTCGGTGCTGTCACTGGTGTCGTCGTTGTCGGCATCGTCAGGGACCACGGCCGGTGCGCTCTTGGGGTGATTCTGCCCCACGTCGGTGTGAGTTGGATTGGCTTGGGGAGGCGCCGCTTTGACAATGGCGACGGTAGATGTCGGGTCCCGCAGGAGGCGCGCGGCCGCCAAGCCTACCTTTGGCACCTTCTTCAAACAGGATGTCGTTGCCTTGGTACTAGGCAAAGAGGCACTAGCCGTCGATGCGGTGGACCTCACGTAATCCGCCAACACTTTGAATCGACCGATGCAGTCCTTCATGCTGCGGCCGTCCACGCACTCTGCAATGGCATGCCATCGTGCTTTGGCGTCGTCGAAAGACCCCGGAGGGAATCGTTTCAATGCCGCGTCCAGCTGGGCCTGTTGCTCCACCGTCCACGGGGTGGTACTCCTTGCGACGTGGCTTTGTGTTGGGACTGGCGGGGCGAGGTCGTCGTCACAACTGTTTACTTCGCATGCATGGCCGCCGTCGGTACTTGCCGCAGTGGTGGTGGTGGCCTCGGTGTGTTCCGTAAGGGGCTTGCCAGCCACATCCGCCGTGTCGATCACGGCGAAACCTTGTTCGATGTCGGCCGGCTCGGCGGACCGCGATGCCAGTGTTGGAACGGCAACTACATCGCCGCCGGGGTGGACAAAGCGGCACGCGTCGCCTTGGTTGCATTGGCCTTGCCGGTAGAATCGGCAAACTCTGCCCGACATTGGTTTGTTCGCACTGGGAGTTCGCTGCCTTGACGGATTTGTCGTGATCGGCTTGGGCGGTGGTTGTGAAGTGGACGGCTGCACGGAGCTCGCTGCAGTCTTCGCAACTTGATCCGCACGACGGGAAAAGGACTTGGCTTGATGTTCACCTTCGCCGTGACCAGCAGCCGCAAGCGAAGACCCGTTCAGATTGAATTCCGTGTGTCCGGCTTTGCATGGTGACGGCTCGGATGAGCAGATTCGACTGCCATCTTCGACGGACGCATCCGATAGAGCAGCCTTCTTGGACTCATTTCGTGCACCACGCTTTCCTTTTTTAGTCTTGGGTGTAGCCGCTTCTGCGCTGGGTGCAGCGAGGCTAGCATCTGCGTCTGGGGCATTCGACGCAGCCTTTCTTGTGTCTTTCGGTGTTCGTAACTTCACCGGCAATGTGTGGGAATACCGGCACGTCGCTCCTTGAGCGCATTTGCCGGCAGCATAGAAGCGACAGAGACGAGGGATGTTGGCCTTGCCGGACGATACAGTCACTGGTGCCACGGAAGGATTAACGTCGGTGCGACGATTCTCGGGTAGTGCCTCCGGGTTGGAAGGCGCGATGGTCGCGGTGGCGTCCGAAGGGGAAGATAATGCTACGATGGTGTTTACCTCCGATGCAGGCACTGGCGTGTGCAGGTTTCGAGGGGGCAGCATGATCTGTTTCAAGTTATTGTCAAGCCACGTAAGTGTTTTTCGGAGCACAAGTTGTCCTGGAAACAATGCTTGCCGAGCGTGGAGTTGATTCGCAATGGTGTCGGCAAACTTGGCCTGGAAACCTGGCACGGTGTCGCACTCGACTGTGAAAACTGCTGGGACATGCGGATATTGCAGCGGTACTTGGACGTGGATGATAAGTCCTTTATCAAGTTGGAACGGGAACTCAGGGTCGCTTGGCACGAGGCGAAGCACAAGCGTGCATGGAATCTGGACGTCCACAGGAGTGAACTCTCGACACGCTCCGTACCGTCGGAGCACGGCAAAGAGTTCCCTTTCCTCACAAGACGTGATCGTCGCAAGTTTCTCTTGCCAAGACATGGTGGAAGTGGACGTCGAGCAGACTTTTGTGCGGGTGGACGGCGCCGGCGGCGGAACGCGATCGGCGAATTCGATCGATTCTCCCTCGTTCCCAAATTCAAGCATGTGCAGAATGTTGGCGTGTGGGGACGAATGTTTGTCGTAGCAAATTTGCACGAATTGGAGCCATAATATTTTGGATAAATTCAACGAGCATTAACAATAATTTTCAATAATTTTGGATTTTAGGTCGTCCTGAAGTTATTCACCGAAGACATATTTTTATTGCGTCAGCTCAAAGAGGAGAGGTGGAACAATCTAGCGGTTGCAAATTCGAGCCCAAGTCAACCGCCCTTTGAAACACATCAAAAGTCCATGCATGATGCGTATGGCATCTTGTAGATGTAGTATCCAATCCAGGAAAACCATTGACGTCAACGATCCGTCGCATGTCGAATATCTGCGTCCGTCGTGAAGGTTAGCGCCGATTTGCAGCTTTGACCGTCGTATCAACGTCAATATTAATATCAAGACTTGAAAGCGTATACCATCCACAGCTTGGAGTTTAAAGCGGTCGAAATTCCGACTGGATTCCAGCGAGCGTTGCGTCCAGTACGTAAAATGGAGGTAAATTGATCACAAACAACGTCAAAATTCTCTTTGAATTGAAACAAGGGTATTTGTATTGAAAGTCGGTATATTTCCCGAATTCCTTTTAAACAATACTATGTAGTACACGACATCAGAGTTATATAGAGTTTTTTGCATGAAATCGCCCCCAACACAACACTCCCGTCAACATGACGTGTTTGATGGAGGGATAGGCAATGTTGGCGGTGACGCATGTTGTACGCCATCAGTCGAATCAGTCATCCATGCTGCCGCTTTCGTCCGTGCTGTTCGTGTATGCTACACGAGCCAACGGGCCAAGTCGGTGCATTTTGCGCAATTACATCCACGCGGTTCCGTTGCAACGCGAGATCGTTTCTACGATAGCACAGCCAAACTACAGTATAATCTCGAATTCGTCCAAAAATAGCATATATATTTCATTGTTCTACTTGCCGATCCACACGACAGGCGATCCAGGCACGGCCTCCCTCGTTCGACGTACCAGAACGGTCCAGACTTTGCCGGAAACCTGACCGAGCACCCTCCCTTGGTCGTTCTGAAAAGGTCAAGTGGTTGTGTTTGTGCAGAATTCACACGATGCCGCCATTGTCAGAGCAGTACCGACCCCCGTGCCTCTGACGTCGCTGAACCCAAATTAGGGCCAGATAGACGGAACAGTTCGTCTGTGGGAGGTGCATCACATTACTGTAAAGTAAACCGATTCGATTGTTCACTTTACAAGACGAGAACGCGCGTTTCGACGTGCACTAGATCACTCGTTGTTCTTGGGCAACAAATTCGGCCATCGCGTTCGCTAATGTCGATACAGATGGTGCACGAGCCAACGCACTTGAGGCCAGACGTGGCGAGGAGCGCGAACAACGTCCAGCGCGAAAGACGGGCGGCGTGAACAAGATTCAAACGGTCGCAACGAGTCCTCTCCAACTAGGGGAAGGCAGGGGCTGGTACGAGGCGTAGAAAGAACTCATTTTCTTGATCCACCTGCGCGATCGAACACCCACGGGCGCGCAGAGAGCAGGGCGGCGGAGGAGGGTTGGTTCTGGATCGCGGATCACGATAAGCACAACCAATTTTCGAGGGCCCAATGACAACTACCACAACGCGGCACGCGGAAGTTGCAATTGTGGCCGGACGCGGTAGCGTTGCCCTGGGCCTGTATACTCGCTTCATCGGCACCTTTGGGAAGCATTGCGCCGTTCAATGTCACAGGTCGTAGACAGCTGTCCCGGTCGACAAAGGAAAGCATGACTCACACAGTCCAGAACGGACCTGCTGTGCATATTTAAAATGTATGCCACAACTTTGTATACAAACATCAAGATGATTTTATTGTAGCATTTGGCGAACAGGCTTGACCAACTATACACCGAGGTGTTGTGATAACCTGGCAATAACGTGTTGGGAGTGCATTTTTTTGTGGGACAGTGGAGAATTTTTTTATGTGTACAGTACATCATGGAGACGCAAGAAAGCCATGACTGACTTCCACAGGTGGAAGTGGCCGCGGCCACGGGCTAACCAGGCCGACGAAGCACGGCGTGCTATGCTTCGACCGACCGACCGCTGCGTCAAGTCACACCCAGATTTGGTACTGGGTTTCGCTTTAGTTGGTGGTGGGGGGGCATCTCGGTCGGTTGGAGAAATGACGTTACTTGCTTGGTCAAAATATCGTTTGCTGCAACGATGAGCAAACCAGCAGAAGCAGCAGAACAACACGGCCTGGAGAGGGATCGAGGAGCTTGCAGCGACCGATAGAAGCCAACGTCGATGCAGTCGGGGGCGGTACGGAATCATCACGGCTGTCGCCATCAATTACGGCGTCGTTGGAAGGAGATGTCGCTGTCTAAATCGACCGACGTTCCGTTTAGTCAAGATATGGTACACTCTACATGAGTTCGGTTCGAAAACGGCTCGGATGTGTTATCACCAGCAGTCACGACGCTCAGTTTTGGATTCCGATGGACAGCGCCAGCATGTTGCACCCACGGCGTCAACTCAAGGCGTCGTCGCCGCCACTAGCGACGTCGACGGCGCGTCCGCGGCAGTTTTCGCTCTTCGTCGAGGCCGCCACGATCCTCCACTCCATGACCAAGCACTCGTCGTCGATCACTTGTTTTCCCAAACTTTACACAATTCCACGGCAGGCACCGTGGCCGCTGCATCTCCAAGGCGTCAAGCTCAACACGGCTCAAGTCCGCATGCACTACAAGAACAACAACCTGCACCCGGACACGAAGCGCGCCCTCGAGCGCATCAACTTTGTGTTTGACGTGAACCAAGTCAAGTGGAATCAAAAGATTGCCGCGCTGTGCATCTACAAGCAACTCCACGGCGGTGACCTGTGCGTCCCGCAGGACTTTCGTATCCCGACGGACGATCCACGCTGGCCACGCGACGTGTGGGGCATGCGACTCGGCCTCGCCGTCCGCAGCATCCGCCAAAAGACTCCCACTGACTCGGACCGGTACCGGCAGTTGTCTGCGATGGGGTTTGTCTGGAATGTCCTGGACATGGGCTGGGAAACCAAGCGACTTGCGCTGCAAGCGTACAAGGCCATCTACGGCGACCTCCTCGTGGCGTACAACTTTACCGTCCCCACCGACGACAGTCGGTGGCCACCAGAAACTTGGAACTTAAAGCTGGGCCACGCCGTCCACAACATTCGCCAGAACGGACACGACATGTCGTCGGAGCGTCTGGCCCAACTGACCGCGCTCGGGTTTGTCTGGGACCACTTGGAGTCGACATGGGACGTCAAGGTCACAGCGCTGCAGTTTTACAAGCACGTGCACGGCAACGCCGCCGTCCCGTACGGTTTTGTCGTGCCGGGCGAAGGCGCTGTTCCGATTTGGCCCCGGGAGACATGGGGAATGAAGCTTGGTCATGCCGTCCACAACATGCGGCAGAACATGGACGAGATGCCTGTGGCGAGAAGGTCCGTGCTAAACGCGCTCGGTTTTGCGTGGCAGTCGACGCCCCTCACATGGGTCCTCAAGCTCCGCGCGCTCCAGATCTTTAAAGACTACTACGGCCACCTAAACATTCCAGACGACTTTCGAGTCCCGATGGTGTCGACGCTAGACCAGCCGTGGCCTAAAAAGTGCTGGCACGTCCGGCTTGCCGACGTTGTGGACGAGCTGCGGCTACAAATGACGACACTACACGCAAACCAAGTCGCGGCGCTGGATGTCCTCGGGTTTGTGTGGCACAAACCCGCAGACGACAGCGCGGACGCGTGTGGTGTTGAGACGATTTCGATTTGCGACGGGTTCCCCTTGCTCAAGCGCCGGCGGTTCGATGCAACGGCCCCCAACATGTCCATCGTGTCGTTGTGACTCGTGGCGCGTGTCAGGTGTGTCTTGGTGTCGGCCGGTTTAGTGATGTTGTGAACGAAGTTATGAAACGGAATGCAAGACAGGTGTCGATTCCAGCGCATCGAGTTGGTCTCGCAATAAAAATCGATGTCGTGCTCGTCCCCAGCAATGTCTACTCGAGTACATCACGTGCCCCCCCCACTGGGGACACCTAACGTTGCCGCGTTGACATGCTGATACCAGGTCGTAGCGTTGCCAGCAATTGGGCCAAAGTTGTGGTGGCCGGTGCAGCTTGACCACACGTTGCCATCGAAAGGCTGGCATGCGTTTTTATCGGTGGTATTCCACCGGTGCAGTGTTTCCTTGTCGGTGGTTCCCCCGCCGCAACGCGAGCGTCGCAATGATTGCACCAACGCGGCCACTCCGACTTCAGTGAACCCCGGAAAAAGCCCCCAAAAATGCAAAAAGCCGTCCACCTCCAAAACATGATCTGTTTTCCTAGTAATAAATTCTACCACCTGTATAACCGGTCTGAAAAATGCCATTTCTTTTGACCAATTGGAGTGTAGATACAAATAATAACTGTGATTGACTGACTGAAATTCTCCTAGTTATAACCAATCAGGTAGGACGAATTCCCGTAATTTGAAAAAATGGATTTTATTCTGCCGCGATGCATACCAGGATGAAACATGATGGCTTTTTCTGAGGTTCACTGTACCGTCTCCTTCGCATGAAACGCAGCGGCCACCACTCCATTGTACGCACACGCATCAAACGACGAGGTACGATCGCGACCAGCAGTGCCGGCGATAGGCGAGTAGTGCCGACGTCACAACGAGGCAACGGCATTTTGCATGTCAACCCTTCTGTGGATGGAGGGTACAATTGTCGTTGCGCGTGCTATGGAATGAGCAGGCTTTCGCCGTGGTGGAATACAGTACTGTACCAGCGCTTTCGAAAAGGTAACGCGAGCGCCGCGACAGGCGTGGGAAGTACCACCTCGGCAGAAATGCACTGAAATTTCCGTAGCATGTGTGGCCGCAATTTCGGGAGGCCATGCCATTGGTCCCGAACAACCGTTGCCCCGGTACCGTCGATACCACTTGAGAGCGCTCCTGTCGCCGTCTAGAGCGTGCGTACCCGACAGGCGTGTGTCCGGTGGAATGCGGGCGGCGAGATGCGCTTGGTGGGTTGGCGTCGCCGCAACGAGCTCGGCGGGAGCCTCAAATCCCACCTTGGGAGGACCATATGATCCACATTCCTGTGCCGAGAACGTGCCGTTGGATACCGATATGCCACCATCGCGAGTTCGGCATCGTTCCCCGTGGCGGCAGCCCGTGGACACTGCTCGCTCGTTTGCGACCTCCTCGATGCACGGCGTTCGAAAGAATGCGTTGCCGCCGCGTTGGCTACCCCGAAGACGGCGAGAATTTGCCTTGGGTCGTCGAAAGTGTCTGGAGTTGCAACTGCTGCCATACAGTAATACAGTATTGGTCCATCTCGTGGTGACTTCGGAGATGTCACGAGAAAGACGTGTAGTACTACTAGCCTGCTGCGATACAGTGAACCAGGAAAAACTTGCAATACCAGTACTACTATCATTAAATTTCCGTTTAACTTTCACAAAAGAACAGAAGCAAAATTGCTTCTTAGTCCGTGATTGGCGAAATAAGCTTCAGCGAGTTTCGTGATCTGTGATTGGTTCCGTCTCGAGATCAGTCCATGATTGGACAAATATCCATAATGGAATTGGAGGTGTCTGATTGGTTGATTTGAGAAACTGTAACACGTTATTTCGTCGACAGTCAACACTTTGGGCTGTCGATCTTGATGCGCTTCGTGAGGGGAAATCCGTCGCAGATGGAGATCAACTCGACTGGGTCTTGTGACGCGTCACTTTCGCCGTCCTGCCAGGGGAACCCCAGTTCGTTCAATTGTCGAACTTGCGCTGGAGTCAAATTCTCGTGGTGCCGACGCACGTCGTCGGCGACATCCGCGAGTCGAATGTACCATGTCTTCTTGGGCCATGCGCTGTCGTTGCCGTCCGGGATGCGAAATGACGGCGGAATGACCAAGTTGCCAAACGTATGATGATACACTTGCAGGGCCACAACCTTCATCTCCCATGAGAGAGGTAGCGAGTGCCACACAAACCCCATCTCGTTCAGTTGCGCCTTGCGCGCGGCAGGCATATCTTGGAGGTTCTGTCGGATGTTGTGCACAGCATGGCCAAGTTTCATGTGCCACGTTTCGCGGGGCCACAACGACGACTCCCCCGGCACGACATACCCGTACGGGACGTTGAGTGAGTTGAAGAGCGACCGATACGTTTGGAGAGCAACGATTTTGACGTCCCAGCTCATTTCCAAGTGGTCCCACACAAAACCGAGGGCGACGAGTTGTCTACGCCGATCAGCGGACATCTCGTGGCCGTTCTGACGTATGTTGTGGACTGCGTGGCCTAGCTTGAGTCCCCACGTTTCCTTGGGCCATGCGACGTCGTGCGTGGGCACTCTAAAGCTGTACGCGACGAGGAGGTCCCCGTAGAATTGCTTGTACTTGACGAGGGCCAGCACCTTTGTGTCCCAACTCAGGTCCAGTATATTCCATACAAACCCCATGTCGGAGAGAATCTTGTGGCGCTCGGTGGATGGTTTGGTCTTTTGGCGGAGTCCTCGGACGGCGAGGCCAAGGCGCATGTGCCACAGATCCTTGGGCCACCGGGGGTCGTTTGGCGGGATGCAAAACTCCTGCGGCACACAAAGGTCGCCATGAATCTCTTTGTACGTCGCGAGCGCCAGGAGCTTCTGCGACCACTTGACTTGGTTCACGTCAAACACAAAATTGACGGCCCGGAGGCCCGCGAGCGTGTCGGGGTGGAGGTTCCCATGCTTATAGTGCATGCGAACTTGCGCCGTGTTGAGCTTGACGCCTTGGAGATGCGGCGGCCACGGCGGTTCTCTCGGGATGGTGTACAATTTGGGGAAGCTTGTGAACGACGTCGTGTCGCGCTGGATGGTGTGGAGCACTGTGGCAGCTTCGACGAAGACGGGAAAGTGGTGCAGTTGCCCATTCAGCAGCGACGCCATGTCGAACTGGTGCCTTCTCCTAGGGCTGGCGGCGGTTGTCGCCGGGCTGCTCGTCATGTCGGCGACTGCTTTATCGTCTGCAGCCTCCATCTGCGGTCCGTAGTGGGACGAATTGATCAATGGATTCGTGTCCCTGTCGTCATTAAGTGTATGGCGAGTTCGTCATGAACGAGTCAACTGGAGGAAAATATGCGCGTTCGCCCATCGAAGTTCAAATGGGTTGTGTGAGTCACCAGTGTCGATCTTCGCGGGACGCATTCCACTTACGCGAACGTTCTTTTGCGAGCGACCTCACGCAGGGCGTGATGGTGGTGGGAGGGCCAGCGATGGTTTGTCGAGGTGGCCAGGGTGGTCAGAAGAGCCAGGTCGACTGCCTCTGGCGGTCGCCTGTTCGTCGTGGCCCGAATAGTTCCCCTATTTCGACCCATGCTCGGTGTAGATTGTCGGGTGTGAACATTTTGCCGAATAGGGGCGAGGTTCGTTGCACTTGAAATAGAGAATTGCCATACCGAATACATGGATTTATAGAGGTTTCAACTCCAAATATGGAGAATTCACGTCCACCCTATAAATGGATAAAATTGTACGTACAGCGAAAAAGGCCGACACAACGCCGCAGACCCTTCTGCGCCGTCGGACGTCAACCTCGTACCAGATGCATCGACCGAGCTTCTCTGCATGTCATGGATGGTGGTGCATACGAGGGTGTGCCTCCCTCGATCGCTTACGCTTGTTGGGGCATACTTGACTCGGCAATATGTACCCCCGACGAGCAGCGACAAAGGTTGGCATGCACGAATGCTACCCAAGGCTAGCCCGTATACTGTGCTTCAGCCCCAGATATATCTCACGCCATTTGTAAAGAGGGGAACTCGGCGAGCAAGCACATCGTAAGTGTGTCGCCCCGCAATGGCCGGCGGTGGTCGCGCCTCGTGTCGCGATAAGGGATGGCATGGATGTGGCCCTGGTGTTGCTCGATGTGTCCTTGATCGTTGAAGCAATCCCAAGATCATGAAACCCAGGTTTATTATTGTCCCTAAGGCCTTGGGGTCGACCCCCGACTACCGCTTCGGCTCACCCATGGCGTTCTCCACACTCCCCCTGCAGAAACCGCACGCCAAGGGCACAGATACGAGCGAGGACGTTGCCGAAGCACAGTGTGAGCACCCAACAATGAAACCATGGAGCAGCACCTACATCCAGGATCAAGTGCCCCAGATCCAGCTGGTTCAGTCGACGTCGCGGCACAACCAAAGTGGCACTGGAATTGGAGGACTGCGTAAGTATAACCCAGGTTCACTTTGCCCTGGACCGTTGGACAGGATGCTTTGCCACGGGACGCGATAACGCAGATCTTTTGTCCGGCAACGACAGGGCACAGGGAGCTGTTATCGCGAGAAGAATGGAGGCAACGGATGGCGCCAGGAATCCTCGACCCAACGACTCCCGCACATCCATGCGCCGCACAGCTCTCCAACGTGTGCGGGGCTTCCCCCCTTCACCTGAAATTGCCATGTCACCCATCACAATTCGTGTACATCTGGTACATGGCAACGTTTCAACTTGTCACGTTGGTCATGGCGACCATGAGTTTCGGCTGCTACGGGATGCAAACGATACAGGTTCGTTCTTGCACCGGAAATGCACGTAGCCAGTCGCCTACTGTCGGCTGCCTGGCGACAACTTGCGCTGACCCTCGCGCTGAGCAGTCGCAACAAGCCGCCCAAGTGGCGGCAAAAGCGCATGAGGAGGTTTTCATGACGTGAACAATTGTAACCGCTAGTCTCTTGTCCGTATAACTCGGGAACGATCCGGACAAGATATCTCCCTCGACAACGGCGGAAATTGGACAATGTGGCGTGCCCCGCTGGCGCGCCGTGGGCTCGCAACGCTCAAGCTCACGTACTTTAACATGGCTGGCCGCGCCGAGTTGACACGGCTCGCGCTGTTCATCGGCGACATCTTCTTCGAAGATGAACGGATTTCAATGAAGCGTCTCAAGAACATGAAGCACTCGCTCCCGTACGGCCAGCTGCCTGTGCTCATGGTCGACGACCTCGTGCTGGCCCAGTCCCATCCCATCGCAAAGTATGCAGGCACGTTGGCAGGGCTGTACCCCCACAAAGAGCCATTGGAAGCGTTCAGGGTGGACGAGATGCTCGCTCACTTGATGAGCATGAGCAACGCCATATATGCCGTGTTTGGCGAGCTAGATCAGGCTGAGCGCGCTGTGCGGGCCAACGAGTTGGTCGAAGTGAAGCTGCCTGCGATGTTTGACGTGCTGGAGAAACGACTTGTGTCCACAAGCACCGGCAATCCGTACCTGCTTGACGCCTTGTCGTTGGCCGATCTCGAAATCTACCTCACGGTGCACATGCTCAAGACGGGCCTCCTGCACGACGTGCCCACGCAAACCGTGCCAGATTCGTATCCGCACGTCATGCGCATCTACGAGACCGTCAAGCAACACCCCAAGGTGATGGAGTGGAACCATCGAAAGAACTGAAGCTCCATCCGACATCACGATCGATTGATCGCTTTGGTGCACTTGTCGACGTCATGCACCGCCAGTTTGGTTTTGTTCATAAGCTAGGCGTGTGCGTTGGCCTAGAGTTGAAGGCGCAGTCTTATCTTGATCTTCATCTGTGGTTCAAGCTACAGTGTGCCAAACATCCCCATCAAGTGATGGTGCACACCGTCGCATGCCGCGCTGACGTGGTCATGGCACTGTCCAAACGATATTCTCCGCTCAACAACGTCCTGTCGCGGAGGACAGCCAAACGGATGCTCCGATACCGCCAAACGGGCCACGTCTCCGCGACCAAGCGTAGGCGGGCATTTCGTTATCACCTGGCACACACTCGTTGCATGTATGCTTGGCAATGGCCCCCATTGCATGTGCGCATCGCGCAGGTATCACTCGAACCATCAGGTCGTACACTGCTTGTTCAAGGTGTTTCTTGAGATTCCATGCGAGCGTCTCATCGCTGGAGGGTGTCGACGCTTCGTCAAGAAGGAAACCGCATTGCCTGTAGTCGTTGATTCAGGCGAGGGAGCAGGTAGGGCTGTATCGAATCGACATGCCGTGGCCCACAGCAGCAGGCCATGCATGCACCAGCGCGAACTTGTTGGTGTCCATGCAAGTGTGGGTGGCCCGAGCCCCCTTCGTCTTTTCCGGTTAGGTCGTTGGCGAATGCCGGATGACCGTGTGCCGTGTGGCTAGCCAGGTGTCATCGGCATGAGTGGATCGTTCCCGACATTGAAGCTGTGGTACTTTGATGTGCCTGCTCGCGCGCATGTGATCCGTGTGGCGCTCGCGATCGGCGGCGTTCCGTTCGACGATCACGTTGTGTCTCGAGAAGAGTGGCCAGCTGTGAAGCCGTCGTTGCCATTCGAGCAAATGCCTGTGCTGGAAGTGGACGGCCACGTGTTTGCCCAGTCGCATGCAATTGAGCGGTATGTCGGGCGTCTCGCGGGGCTGTACCCGTTCGAGAACGCGCTCGAGTCGCTCCAAGTGGACGAGATCGTCGACGCCATCGAAGACATCAACCAACTGTTCGTGCCAAGTCGGAGCGAGCCAGACGTGGCCAAGAAGAAAGCCATGCGCCAAGCGTTAGGCGCGACCGACGTGCCCAAGATGTTTCGCCTCCTCGAAACGCGGCTCCAGTCGTCCACGGCGGCGGGACCTTGGTACCTTGACAAGATGTCGATCGCAGACGTCGCAGTCTACGCAGCCGTCGTGATGATCAAGACAGGGTTCACCATGCACATCCCGACAACAATTTGCGACCAGCACCCGCGCATGCTTGCCATTTACAAAGCCATTGACTCCCACCCCAACGTTGTGGCGCGCTACGGGTCCTGTGGATTATAGAGTATAGGGGATCGTCAGAGCTTAGCACGTCATGATGCTAGCCCGTCGTCATGCATACCATTCATGCATCCATGTTGAGTCCACGGGTGGTTGTTTTGTCGCTCCCAAGAGCGTGGTTGTGCGGTGGGTTGGGCCATCTTGGCAAATTCAGTTTTCTCGGTGGCGTGGCGTCAGCTGCGTCCAGGGACGTCGGTGCATCCAAGCTAGCACCTGTGGAGCAGCATTCCGCCCGATTTATCCACACGTCATGACGCGTGGAATAGTCAATAAACACGCCGAGCGAGCTATGCCTAGCTGCTTCCGACAAGACACAATCGGCTGGCCATCGTCCCTACCACGCACACGGGAAGCTGCGCCTCACTTGGAGCCAAGCAGGTCCATCTGCAAGTAGCCCCAGACGCCACTGGCGATCCAAATCTGCATGTGCTCACAAGCAAAGGACCGCGGAGGGCGACGAGCTAATTCTTCGATCGGGCCTGTGAAACGCTCTAGTAACTGGTTCACACGAATCTTTGGGTGGGGAGGCCACGACGACGACGGACCCTCTGCTGCATCTCGCTGCACACACGCGTCTTGCCGATGCTAAAGCAAGGGTCGACCGTCCGCGACTTTGCGTCAGCCTTTGAGCATGTACGTTGCTCGAATCGGGCTGTGTGTGTGTGCACGGCAGCAAGGCTGGTATATTGCCGGCCGCTGACCTGTTCTACCTTGTGGCGCAGGAGCGGCAGGCGTTGGTAAAAGATCTCGAGTCGATGCGTCTACAACTCGTTCGCAAGGACGACCAGAGCAAGAAGAACGCGGCGACGGCAAGCGCGCAGATGATTGCGCTCAAGAAGGAGCTCAGCGACATGCAGAGCCAACGCGTCCTCGTTGAGAAGGAATGCGACTTGTACCAGCAAAAGTGCAAAGACCTCACGACGCTGCTCGAGACATCGTACGATCAGCATGAAGAAGACCAGACCAAGATCGTCAAGCTCACGGAAAACGTATGCGTGCCGTGGGGCGCTCGTTTCTAACGTCGCTTTGTCTAGCTTAAGCGCCTCAAGAAAAAGTACGACGACGGCCTCGACATGGCCCGCAAGGAAGCCACGATATCGGTCATGAACACCCACGAAGAGCGCAAGTCGCTCAAAGTCAATGCCGAGCGGCTGCGGTGCAAGCTGAACAGCGAGCGAAAGGAATGGATGGACACCAAGCAGTCCCTCCTCGAATCGGTCGACGAGCACCGCGCGCGAACAGAGTGCCTCGAGCGCGAACTGCGCGAAGCCAAGTTGAGCGAGAAGAGCTACCGCCTTGGCCAGGAGCAACTGCACGCTGAAATCCGGAGCTTGAAACACGACTTGGCGGCAGCCGCCACCGACTGCAGCCTCGCCAAAATCGCCATCGAAAAGTACAAAAGTGAGATCTGCCGCGTCGTCGAAGAGACGCGCGCGCAACGCGACAGCGACCAAATGCTGCTCGAACGGCTCCACATGGCCCAGGAAGATGCGGTCATGGGCTGGCGAAGTCGTACGGCGCTTTACCACGAGAACTGCACGCTCAAGCAAAACTTGTACGCAGCGCAGCAGAAATACGAAGCGTACGTGTGTTGTGGCCCACCGGACTTCTTTGTGTGGCGGCATGGATTGGAATTTCCGTCTTTGTTTCTCCATCGGAAATGGGGGCTGCGTGGCCATGGAGTTTGGACATGTGCGTGATGGGTGCTGCTCGCTGAGCCTGGTCGATTGCATGGGCGCCTTGCATGTGCATTCCTTCGTTTATCCTGTGGACACTTTGTTATGCGCGTGCAGCCCGACGACGTTCCTCACGTCGAGTCGTCATTGAGTTCGTCCTGTGTGTGGGATTCTAGCCTGGTGGCGAAACGAAAGGAAGAAAAGGCGGCGAGCAATATGCTTACGGAGGAGCTGTCCGACGTGCGGCGGGACACCAAGCGCATGTCCATGGCATGGGAGGTGCAGTCCGTGGAGCAGATGCAGCGGTTGAAAAGAAGCCACACGGAAGCAATCGATCTGCTCAAGGAGCGCCATGGGGCTGAGTTGCTCCAGCTGCAAGTCGACAGCGAGCGCAAGCTCGCCAAGGCCGAAGCAGCCCATCGTGTCATGCTGGACGAGCTCAAGTCCGCGCATTCCGACCAAGTCCAAGCAGCCCGAGAGATCGTGGAGAAGCAGATGCACACTGCGGTGAACCAAGTCCAAGTGCTGTGCGAAGCCACACAGCACAAGCTGCTCAGTGTGACCAAAGAGGTTCGTCTTGACGACGTGCCAGTCCGCTGCCCACGACATTTCACGAACCCATTGTTGCAGAAGGAAGGTGCGGAGATGCAGGTCCATGAGTTGCAGCTAGAGATGGACGCGTGGCGCGACAAGGAGAAAAAGTTGATTCAAATCATGGAACATGCTCAGCGCATGAACGCGAATGTCGAAGAGCGCCACTTGTCCCTCGAATGCAAACACTTGGACGCTCAAAAGCAAGTCGAAGAGCTGACGGCAAGTATCAAAAGCTTGCAGTCCACGGTACGATGCCATCCGGGGTGGTTTCCAGGAGATCGCACGAAGCACCCTCGTCATCATGGTGTAGATCGCAAACCAGCGCGACTTGATCGACGAGCTCGAGCGGTCCCGCCAGGTCAAGGTAAGCGCCAGGAGCTACGTGACTGGTTGCGGCATGTCGCAACGGGGTGTGGGTGCAGCTTGACCTGCTGCAGTGCATTCACTTATGCGCAGCGCGGCGATGCTCAAGTCAGGATCATGCGATAGGCGGACGAATACCTTCGAGAACTCGGGGGATACGAGACTGAAAAGCTCGAGTGCATGCGGCGGATTGCGCACTTGGAAGAGCAGCATTCGCGAGACGTCCTGGCTTTGGAAGTGATCAAGCGGAACCAAGACAACACGGTCAAGCAGATCACGCAGGCGCAGATGAGTGCGAATCGTTTGATCGAGGTAACGAACGTGGTTCAAGCTTGGCCGTCCGTGTTTGCATGGGCGTAGAGTGTGAGCCGAAACGATGGGTAGGAACAAGCGAAAACCATTGAAGATTTGCTCGAGTCGCGCATGAATGAGCCACACGAGGTGGGACATGGTTCCGGCGACTGAATCTAATTCGGCAGTAGGCCGTCGACTCCGCCTCTCCGTGCCGTCGACCGCAATGCCAGGCCATGGCCGACGCGTTGCGCGACCTGCAGTCCAACAACCCCAAATCGTCGTCTGCGCTTCACGTGAACGAGCTCCAAACCCTGCTAAAACAGACCAACCATCACGTGAGTGTGTTGGAGCGCGAGAAGGAGAGGCTGGCGGCGCTCGTGGACGAGCAAGCCGTGACCATTCACGAGCTCACAATGCAAGACGACGACGGGGGCAGCGACACCAGTGCCAAGCACGGTGGCCGCCCTGAAGTGGACAAGTGGAACGACCTGTCATTCGAGGTACGTGCATCCATCGCGCTCGTCCGCACGCCGCATCGGCTCATCCAATTCTTGCCTTGGCGACACAGAACGTGTAGATATGGGTACATCCGGATAATATACGATGGTGATTGGTCCGTTTCAAATCATGTCCGGATGACGCACCGCGTCGCCCTCATTGAGCAGCGTGAGTAGCACGGGCGCGATCTCATCCCGCTGGCTTCGTGGGAAGAGCTCGAGACCGGGCATCGTTGCGGGACATCTCCAAGCTCCAAGTAGTATGCGTGACATGACAGCTTTGTCGGACGACCTGTCGTCGGCGATTTGCTTTGTGATGTATGGGATGGGGTCGTTTTGGATCCTGACCGCGTGGTCGACGGTGCTGAAGACGTTGTACACATTGGACGACGAGTGCAGCAGCCACGTTCCCGCGAATGCGGTGGATGGTCGCGATGCATGCACCTTATGGCCAGTCGAAGCAGACGACGACTGCTCCACAGACTTGCCGAATGGCGATGGAGCCCACGACGACACCGAACCGCCGCACGTTCCATATTTGTCCCTCATGCCCAAACACACGACACTCCAGGAACACCACGCACTACCCTCGTCTAGTCCAGTGTACACGTGCGTATGCCAGCTGCCTGTGGCCATTCCGGTGTCCCCGAACAGCTGCGGCAACGCGAGAGCCACAGCAACATCATATCCCAACGCCAAGACCATCCGATGTGAACCGCTCGTTGATGAGCACATGGAATGGTACCAGCCCAGCAACGCGACCTTGCTAACGAGAGCAGCTACATTGTACGATACGGAGGATTCTCGAGACATATCTAGATGCCGAAGTGCATCGTGTCCAGTGACCAGGTACAACCTCCGTCGACATGGACCATGCATAGGGGCTTGGTAATTCATCCAAGTTGCTCTGCCGTAGGCGTCGGCGCCCTGCATGCACGCTGTCCTCTGCTCGCAGTGAGAACCCCCCACTGAAACCTGTCGCTTCTCCAAAACCAGCGAAACCAGCGCCACCCATCGTGCTGGTCGCGTTGACGGCTCAAGTCGACACCAGCGAGCGACGCGAAAAGAGTTTACACCGTGCAACATTTCAAGTGGGTTTGCCTTTAACGTCTCTGGCGCTCGGCGACGTGTACAGCATCCGCGTCGAGTTAAGTTGCCCAGACAATGAGCAGAGCCACCCACTGCCGTCCGTCATGTGGTGCTTTACGAGCACGGTGGCAGAAATGAACAAGACTCGACAACGCATGCAACACGAAGTACATGAGGGCGACGCCTCGTGCTTGACCCTGGAGATCGAATCAAGGGAAGATATGCAGCGCTTCCTCGACACCGTCGTCATGCTTCCTCGGCTGGCCGACGCTCCTAGCCTTCGCAAGTTTTGCCAAATGTGGTGACAGCAGTGACCATCCACGTTTGCTGGAGAGAAAACGCCACCCACTGGGCCATCCTTGCCTCACGAGATTCCTAAAGTCCGTGGCGGGGGGCCAAGACCGTGTCAGCGGCGGCACCGTCGCGAATGTGCCATCCAAGCAACTCCAGCGTGTTCCAAAGTACGTAGCTTTTTAACACAAAAAATCCACCACGACGCCTGTTGCGGTCGGTGACGTGTGGCTGAGCATACGCGACGGTCGTGCCACTGGCAAAGGTAGCTATGGCGACGACGGGATGGCATGCCACCTACTCGCGCCCTTGGTGGCGACACCAGAACGTCGCAAGGCGAACGCTGTATCGTTGGCTCCCTTGCCGATGCAGCACACGTTGCAGCGATCCCTTCCTCGACGTTGGCAAGTGGATTCGCACGTCGACGACGAATTGTCATGGCCACTTGAGAGGTCGAGCAACTGGCGTGTTTTCCTGTGGCATGGACTACATCGATGTCGTCCCTCGCCCGTGAAAGAACGCGGTCGGAAGGCAAAAGCAGCATCGACTGGAGGCGGCATCCGCCCACACCAAATTGTCCGTCCGCATCACGTCGACGTTGCGATGTCGTGATCATCGAGATTCCCCACATCAACCGAGTGGATTCAATCGAGGAATTCGATACCGACTCCGTCCCCTGACAACGTGTCCGTCAATTGCATCGTGGCCACCGTGAGCTCCATGTGGACTTTCATTTCGGCGGCCGACTCGGTCGCCAACTCAGCCATGAGCTCGTCCGTGTACGGGTGCACGCGCGTGTAGGTTGAGTCGACTGTGTACACGATTTGGTTGGCGACGAGGTGGATTCGGCACGAGCACAGCTTGGCGTTGCCATGGGACGTGGCGATTTCAGCTTGAGGCAAGTCGACGAGCTGCGACATGACGTCGACTTGATTGCTTGCCACGGACATGCGGTGGGTTAACGCCGCCACCAACGGATGGTACAACTGTCGGATCCGCCGTTGTAGTACCATCTTGTCCGTGACCAGCGCTTTGAGCTGTTGAAATGCCTTGGACGATTCGCGACCGTAATGCGTCGCAACGGCCCCAAAGGTTGCGTGCTGCTTTTCGAGCGCGGTTGCAAGCGTGGCCAGCTGGACGTCGAGTTCGCAGGGATCGCCGCCGCCTTGAGGGTACGTGATAAAGGCCGGGATTTCCTTTTGAATGGGCCAGAGGTCGTCTCCGCCGCTCGACTCTTTGCTCCAGATGCACCACGCGAGTTTGGAGCAGGTAAAGATGGCCTGTGCGAGATCAGGCAGGTCCACATGAGTGATTCGAGTCGCGGCTACGTACGGTGCGGCAAGTGTGTGGGTCATACAGGTGGAACTCGAGTTGGCTGTCGCCTGCCGTCCGCACGGTATACCGCACCCGGTGACCGTCGCGGAGCTTGGCAGCTCCCGCCGCAAGCTTGTTTGTTTGGCCCATGTCGGCCCTGTGTCGTCGGCCGTTGGTGTACCCCGTCTGGGCGCGCCGGCGCTGTCCACTCGTAATATCATGGTACTGGAAGGGCCGACTTGCGGCGGCCGCGATCGCTTCCACTTCCTGATCGCATTCCAGGACACGCTGCTTGATGTCTACCTCGTAGTGTGCAGTGGCCGCACGTTGTTTGGCCAGGACGTTGGTGATTTCTTGTTGCGTGGCCTATTCCAGTTGCCACGTCGGCTTTGCGTTTCGAGCGGCGGTACCTTGATCTGGCTGAGGGTATCGCTCCGCTCGCGCTTCAACGCTAGCCGCAGATCCCGCAGTTCTTGTCGGTGCTGCGCTTTGACTGCCTTGTCCAAATCGACAACATCGACAAGTCCTTTGCTCTCGACGTCATCCAGTTGTTCCTTGACTCGTGCTTCGTTTGCCCGGAGGTCATCCCGCTTCGTCTCGAGCTCCTTCAACTCGACGGCATACCGGACGTCGATGCCTGCAATCCGCCCCTGCAGCTCTCGTACCTGGCCCAAGGATCATCAAGAATGAGTGGCCATGGTGGATGACCACCAGCGCGTTGCCACAAAGGACAAATGCACGGACGACTTCCAGAACAGACGTGTACAGGAGCACGAGATGCACTCAAACGCAAGAGCGAAAGCGCTCGACCCGCCAGCCATGCATACGTGTCGTACGTCATTGTAACATGCCGCTTGCACGACCGCGATGGAGTTGGCCACACATTGACGGTACGCGCGCTCAGCGATGGAGTCTGTTGTGTCAGCACAATCGAGGGCGAGCGATTTGCCATAGAATCCTATGCGTCCTTGGATCGCCAGCGCCGTCTCGCCCAACGTATTCTCGACCAAGCGAAGCTAGGCACAACGTTCCTCCGATGTGAAGGGGCGAACACTCACAAAGGTTGTTGCTGGGTGTACATGGCTGATGACGGTGGACGCCACTTGAGCCTTTTCTTGCTTGGTCCACTGGTGCGGCGGAGCCACGAGTCGGGCGAGCTTCCCGGCATGGTGCAGCCCAACGGGCAGCGAGTACCTGCACCACGAACGATCAGCGCTAGCCCCCCGCATGACAGCAAAGTGCCACGCACTGCGTGCCGGTAGGGGGATGGTACGCCACGACCGCAAAATTGCGGAGTTGGTTCGGGTACTGGTGCACCGTCACTGTGAAGCGGAATCCGCCCAACTAAAGCGAAAATGCGAGCCGTGTGAACGACATATGAAAGCGAGCAAACTTGGAGTCATCGTACTTTGATGCTGCGGGCAAGGATGCGATGACGCTGTCGCCGCGCCATGGTGAGGAATTTCAGCGCGTCCAGCCGACGTAGCTCTGCCTCGAGCTGCCGTTGACGCTCACGTTGCTGTCGCTGGAGCTTGGACTACAGCACGTGGTCGCGGATGAAGCGATGTAGATTTGACATGGGATGGTTCCTCACGTACGGCGCTGACTTTCATCTCTTTGTTGATGTGCAACGAGGGAGTTTGCGACCTGTGTGCTCCCTCCGGGGGGTACTGAAAGTACAGCATCGCTACGATGCCCGAGACGAGCTGCTCCATGTGTCAGGACTCACGACAATATATCGAGGCACGGCCATGGGCGTACGTCTTGTTTCCGTCCGGCAACCAACAACTCCATGTGGTCTTGGAAGAGGTCCTCCAAGGTATCCATGGACAGCTCCATTGTGTGCGTGAGGGCCAGCGCGGGGTCGTACACATGCAGCACGATCGATCTATTCCATCAAAAGGTCAGCACACACTTGGTCCGTGCCAGAAGAGTGGACGAGGGTGAACTTGCCGCTTGCTTTGGAGCCCCGCGCCGTAGACGCGCCCAAAGATGTTCACGCCGATTGCAGTCACAATCACGTAAGTCGAATCAATCAAAACCCCCCGTCGATTCAGTTGCTGCTCGTTGTCCTGCAGCCACAGGTCAAGGGGGGGAGGCACATTGACGTTCTCTCAACCACGTGCAGTACCTGCCGCGACGGCCGCCATTTCTCCGTGTGGCATCGGCCATCCGTCATGGGGTACTTCCGTGGTCGGACGGCTTGAATCATCGACAGTTCGTCGCGCCGCCACACTTTGTCCCGATCTCGAATTGGTTCTTTCCACCTTTCAACCTAATCCCAACGCAGTGCCGCGATGAGGTACCGACGTCGCAAACGCATGCAGCGCTGTGTACATCAAACAGACGAGCGCGGTGTGCTTTGGCGAAGCACGGCATGAGTGGAATCTCATCCGTGCTTGAACACTTCTTGGGAAGCCACACCGCCATCGGGTTGACTATCCGAACTGCCTCGACTTCGTTGTACTGGACGATCTCTTCCAAACCAATTTCCGCAGTCCCGTCGACGTTGAAAAACACGCGCCTGCGTTGAAGCACGCGGGTCTCCTGGTGTGCCATCGAGAAATGTCCTCCACTGTCAAGCAAATCGTCTTGTAGAAGAAAGAGGGCGTACCAACTGGGGCAATGAAAACGGAGGCCGTTTGGTCGGGCTATGCCGCATCTCGTCGTTGGCGCCGTCGTGGAGATCGCGGAAAGTCGACGTGAGAATGGGGGACGTCGGTCGGGGCAACGGACGCAACTTGCACGGTTTAAGTTTGTGCGACGGTGGAGACCTCAATGGACTGCTGCTGCGGGTCCGGCTATCGTGCAGGAGCCGATACAGCTCCGACGTGGAGTCTGTCGAGGCTTATTACGTGCGGAAACGAGTCTCTAGTTTGCTTACCCATGAACACCACGACGTGGATGGAGCGGGCCCTTGACGGTTTCACGTCGACATCTGCTGTAACCGCACGAAACCGATTGAACGACCAAACCACACACCGAACCTTCTTCTACGTTGCGAGCGGAGGGATGTCCTCCGAGCGTGTACGGCCACAAGTGTGTGGCCCGCGGGGCTCGTCCGCGGCTCGGGGTGGTGGTAGGTTGCCGAAGGGGGGAGGCTTCACGATGGCATGGGAACAGGTCGCACGTGAGTCGCTACAGCGAGCGCGTCTTGGAGATGACGTTGTCGCACGTGAATGAACGAAAGCGGTGCAAGGGTCGAAGGGGGAAGGCTTCAAGGTGGCGATGTGCACAGGTCGCACTAGAGTCGCTAGAGCGAGCGACTTTTGGAGATAAGCTTGGCGCTGGTGTATGGAGCATTGCCCGGGGCGTCGAGGACGAAGCACGTTGGCGGATCGTTCGTTCGGGTCCGATCCATGGCGAGGCAGCGAAACAACATAGTGCAATGTTATGCTGTGTAGATTACGCTCAAGTACATGCCTGTGCCTTGGGCTAGGAGGTCACTTGCCTATCAAACGGGTCAACTTGCCAAATGCTTTTTGCGCTGCTGGAGGTGGGGTGGGGGTGGTCGCAGATGATGGCAATGGCCCGACCGGCGCCACCGCCTCGGGAACACCAACTGGTTGCACCATCTCTCGTGAGTTGATTCGAGATGACTTGGCAACATCTTGCTGCGTGAACGCCGCCATGGATTGTGCCTTTGAAAACTCCGTCGACTTCTTGGACGCGGAGGCCGTGCGGGCGTGCTGGAACTCGCCTTCTTCGTCATCGGGCGGTGGAGACGCCGTTGGCACGGGTTGTTGCGACTTGAAATCCAATCGAACGGACGGCAGCAAGTGTGTGGAGCGACGACGTATGTTCCAAAGCAAACTCGCGAGCTGAAACACGACAATGACCTGGAGCGCTTCGTCGCACGAGTTGTCAAAAAGCAAGCAGCGAATTTCAAAGCACGTTTTCGCGACCGTGACCAAGTGTTCGGGCTGCTCGGCTGCATGCAACGCTTGGGTGAAGAGCGCAGCCGAGGCGTCAAGCTGCGACGCGTCGTACAATGCAGCGTCGTCGGTCGGCGAGATCAAGTACTTTGCCTTGTACTCCGCGACCGAAACCAAAATATCGGACGCCGCGACGAAGATGAGCACGAGAAGCGCCAAAAAAGATGGCCCGGTGCGGTCGTCGTGAACAGTCACGTGCACGTTGTCGACGACCGACGCCTGCATCCGTGTGCGAGCTGTCGCGTCGCACAGGTCAACGTACGAGATGGCTCCATTGCAAATCTGGCCTTGGTATGCCGCGCACGTGGCGTCGCACGCTGCAAGAAGTGACGACGGCCACAGCGTCGCGTAGTACGTCAGGTTGCTCGCAAGGGACGAGCACACGTTCTGGCAGAGCGCCGCGGGCGGGTCATCGCAATGCGTACGGCGCATTGCCGACTGCTCGTAAAACGTGCGGCACCGCGCGACAAATGCTTGATCTTGCGGCGACAATGGAGGCGCGGGGTCGGCGCCCCCCAGGACAAACGAATTCGACGCTGGTCGGGCCACGAGGCCGCGAATGATGAGGTACACGATAGCAAACACGGTAAGGCCATTGCGAATGGCTTTGACCGTGACGATCGGTCGCCAACCTGTCGCCGCTGAGCTCGACATCGTGCCGTTGCTGCGGTAGATTGTGGTTTGTGGGGGGGGTTGAAAATAGCGCAGACACATAACCGCTGGCAAACGGTCGTCGCGGGGAAGTACAGGGGACAGAATGGTGCAGTATGCGATCGCGGGGTGCGTCGACCAGTCGGACTACACGGTGTGCGAGCGTCTACTTGGTGCGAGAGCGTCCACTTGTGTCCGGAACCCTTGAGCGGCCCCTGTTGGAGTAGATATCATGGCGGCAGCCCTTCCCGACATCACGGTCGACAAGGAGCCCGTGCGCAGCGACACGTGGCGCACTCGCGTGCTCGAACTGGCCCAGCTCCACGGGTATGCATCTCCACCCCATCCTGTCGTTCGTCCCAAGTCATTCAACGCCACAACCTAGCTTTACATCGATCGGCGACCGGGATTGGAAAATTGCCCAAGTCATGGTCTGGCGCGTCGGTCGGCTCGTTGCGCATCGTGCCGAAGAGTTTGCGCTGTACGTGGCGGATACGTACGGACTCGCGCTTGATCTGGATCAAGGGCAAGTGGAAGCGTACACGCAGGCGAACACTCGGGCTCTGCTCGGCGTCCAGCCGCCATCCGGGCCACACGACGTCGCCATAGCTGAGGAGTTAGCAGAGTAGTCGATCGTGATGATTCGTGTTACACGTGCTTTAAGCGTGGAAATGCTGCAAGCGCTTCGTTCGCGCGGGCTGCCGCCTCGCCATGGCGCATCGCTTTCAAGTACGTTCGAATCGCCTGCGGGGGTCCATCGAGAAGGGACAGAATCAATCGCTAAAGTGACGAGCGTGCCAAGTCGACGGCGCACCTCCATCTCGTGCACCTTTTGCTGCCGCATTGCATGGACTCGATCGGCGTCCGCTTTCGCTGTCGCGTCCAGGTAGGCTTTCTACAGCGCTCACGGTGAAGGAACAACGTGCCGAGACCATGCCACCGTGCCTTGGCCGTGTTGAAGAATGCGATCGAGTCGCTGTCCATTTTCGCATCAAGCACGCTGCGCGATTGCCTGACGCTCTTGGATTTCTATTCGATACACACTGGTGTATGTGCATGTTGGCGGCCATGGACGCGCGGCATTTACCTCGACGATGGCGTTGGCAAGCACCGAGTGTCGCCCTTGCCTGGCCAACTGGAGAGCGGATTCCGCAACGATGTCCGTCTACAACGACCAGAAACACTCCTCGATCGCCCAGCCATCGTACGTTCGGGTCGTGAATGGATTGCCCGAGGCCAACCAAGTACACAGCAACCTCCGTGGATCCCGCGCGGCACGCATAGTGCAGGGGGGTATCACCCGTAGCCGTGGTGGATTGTTGGGGGTTGGCCCCGCACGACACCAACACGTCGACAATGTCAAGATGGTTGTGTGCCGCGGCCAGATGCAGCGCCGTTTCGCCAACCTGAGCGCCACTCGTCACTCTCGACCTTGACCAGGCGGCGCGCTGACTTACAGAATTCACGCCGTCGACGACATCGCCGTGCAAGAGAAGGAGGCGCAGGATCGTGATGTGTCCTTTGGCAGCGGCCGTTTGTAGACACGTTAGCTTGGCCGCCTGCCATGCCCAACGTCAAACAAACCCGATCGAGGACAGCGGGGGGAGACCCACGTTCATGTAGTACAGCTTTTCGACGTGGACTCGACCGCTGTCGAGGAGGACGAACACAACCTACCCGAACGACACTCGCCCCATCAAGGCCACAGGTGCCGCCAGCATGTCCTACCTCTGGAAAGCCAAAGTGACACGCATGATGGAGGGGCGTCTTGTTGAACTGCCCAACGATTCAAGCCGACGTATGACTGTGTCGACGACGTACATGGTCGAGGGCGTCGACGGCCGCGCCGTGACGAACCAAGTAGCACACAATGTCGACAAACCCGCGCATGCAGCAATGGTGGAGCGCGGTCATGCCCGTGGCGGCGTCCACGCTGTCGATCAGGTTCGCAATCGACGCGCCGCCCTCGTCCAACGTGTGGACGACCGTGTCCAAGTCGCCGTCCTTTGCCGCATCCAGCAGCGTTTGCCGCAGAAACGGCGCGTCGAAACTCATCCCAACTATTTTTGATCGACTGCGTGGCACACAACCCGAACGCATGCCGGACGACGACCTGTGCGAGCGGCATCGTCATGTTGTTAGAAACCCACGTCGAACGCGCTCTCCGAGTGTGGCACAAGGTAGAAGAGGCAGCCGGGATGCCACTTTGCTCGACGCCGCAACCACTAGCCAAAATGGGCAAACCTACCAACGAAGTCAGGCGTCGTTGCGCGTACTACGACGTGGGAAGCAGAGACGCATGAAAAGGACGAAGGGGGCTAGACGAAGCTGGTAGATTGAGGGACGTTCAGGGTCCTCCCGCTACGAGCGACTGCGGCAAACCCAAACGGGACCCTGCATGCAAATGAAAACGCAGCTAGCTAAAGAATCTCGCTCTCCTCTGAAGAAGAGAAGACAGCTACCAGTTTGTCCCTGCTTGCGTCGTTGTCGGCCGCATGAGGTGTGACAATAGCACGACGCGTTGTACGTCCACCGAGTGGCGCGTTTGCATGTCCAGCGGATGGAATCCGCCCCACGAGCTTGCCGCGCTATATCTTCCCGTCGAGACGTCGTCGTCGGGGCTCCTGGGGGCGAGTTTCCAACGGTACCAGCTCGGCATGGCTGGCCCGTGCGTTGCGTGGGTCTGCGACTGGCGACTCGCCCACCGACGACTTGTCCACCGCGATCTACTGTCCACCTAGACGTCGAAGCCATTCCCAGCCTGCTGCTTGGCGCATGGCGGTCCACAGGCGTCACATGTACATGGGCCCAGTGCATGCCGTGCTTCATATTCAAGATCATGAATAAAGGGGACTCTCAACACACAGCCCACTAATCAAACTTGGCAAACCATTCGACGACTTTCGGGTGAGTCTGGACGGCGCGAAACACGTCCATGGTGCGCGTGTACGGGTCGCACAAATCCTGGGGAATGTGGTCGAGGAATCCCGACGTCATCATGAGCATGAGGCCATGGATGGCAAGGTCGGCGATCGAGATCGACCCGAGAACCCACGGCCCTTTCGACGGCAACCCCACCAAGCGTGCCTCGAGAAGGCCAAACATGCGTGGGAGGCTGGTCGCTGCAAGCTCTTCGCGCAGCGCCTTCTTCTTGTCCGGGTCTTGTTCGACGAAACTCGGCATGAGGAGCTTGGTGATGTCATCGAGAAAGTCGACGATTTCATCCACCACGAGCGCATGCAACCGGTTCGACGTCGGGTACAGTCCCGACAAGCTGCCCACGTAGCGTTCGATCGCGTGCGCTTGAGCAAACACTTGGCCATCCACGGTCAAGACGGGCATTTGCTGGTACGGTAGCGTCGGCTTCAGCGCGGGCCAAGCTTCTGGCGAAATGCGTTCATCTTCGAACGGGATGCCGGCGACGACGAGGGCTAGCCGGGACACGTGAGCGCGGCCTGGCATTTCAAAGTACGTGAGCTTGAGCTGCGGGTAGACGGGGGTCGCCATGGCGGAGCGCTGACGCTGTCAACCACAATTTCAAAATGACATTGCGCGTCGTGGGCGGCAAGGGGCCAGCGGCTCCTCGCTCCACTCTGCCGACTTTATCCGCTTTCAACCGGACGATCTGGCGTGCGGGAACGGGCGCGTCGCCCATTTGCCGCGCAGGGCCATTCGAGGAATTCCTTTAGATACCACACTATCGCGGGACGATGGCTCGAGCAAGTCGACCCTGCAAGCTGGCAGAGCTCACTTGATGTGGTCCATCACGGCAGGCGGTGCATGGCGAAAACCTGACCAAGCCAGCGCGCAACTACGATCATGGGTGTGGAATTGTATCGACAGATGCGATGAAAAGCAGGAACGCACAGTTGGGCGGTGCACCGGCATGCATGGATCCTCGACAAGTAAAGGAATAGCTCGGATTTCGCTGCTCGACAAAACGCCGCCATGGAAAGACATGCTGAATCCGGGCGGCGTGCTTGCCTCCTTCATGCCATCGGAAAACGTAAAGGAACGAGGCGTGGAGCGGTGGCAGGCGCTTTCTCCTGCCGCTGGCACGTCAACTGTTGCTGGTCGAGTTGTTCCAGCAGCGTTGCACGGGGCGTGCAGTGGCGGGGTGTTTTGACCGCACGATGCTTGGAAGCCAGCACCTCCACGAGGTCCGCAGCATTCACGCAGTGTTCGAATAGCATCGAGGGTACCTCATGATGGAAGCGAGTTTTGGTCAAACAAATCGGCAGCTTCGAGGCGTACATGGTCGAGCATCCTCGGCAGTCGTCTGTCCCAGAAGCACGCAATATCCTATTTGCACGACAGTTCTCTGTGTGTGTGGTGCGATGGTCCAACGCGAACGCGACGAGGAGCACGGGAAGGGCCAGTTGGCTTGCCCCCCCAACTGCCCAGTGCGGTCACGAAATCGGCGCGACCGTTCAAAGGCAGCGACGCACTTGTTCACTTGCAACTAACGTTGTGTGAGGCGCCGCTATGAATCACCACCTCAAATTGACGTACTTCGACATGGCAGGGCGGGCTGAACCGACCCGGCTGGCGCTGACGATTGCCGGCGTGCCGTTCGAAGACGACCGCGTGTCGTGGGGACAGTGGCCGTCGATAAAGACGACGGTGCCATTTCACCAGCTCCCCGTCCTCCATGTGGACGGCCAGGTGCTGTGCCAATCCCACGCGATCGCTCGCTATGTAGGGTCGCTCACGGGGCTCTACCCCGAGGGCAACAAGTTGTTGGCCTGCCGCGTCGACGAAGTCAGTGACTACGTCGAGGACATCATGCGCACCATCTACGCGACTGTGCACGACAAGGACCCGGGAAACACGAAAGCGATGTGCACGAAGCTGGCGGCCGTGACATTGCCGGAGATGTTTGGGCTGCTAGACGCCCGACTCGCCGACACGGGCGTGAACAGCCCGTGGTTCCTGAGCGGGATGACGGTGGCCGATCTCGACGTGTACTGCATGGTGGCTTTCATAAAGTCGAAGTTCTTGGACCACCTTCCCGTCAACCTGTGCGACGACTACCCCAAGATCATGGGCATCTTCAAGGCGGTGGCCAGCCACCCAGCGGTGATCGCATGGAATAAGGCGCACACGAAGGTCGAATGAAGGAAGAAGAGCGGGATTTTGCAGGGCTGCGTAATGAAAACGCATACCTACGTCACGATGGCCGGGAAGGCAGTAGTGTGGTAGAGCATACAGCACAAATTGTCGGTTGCACGGGGAGGCGCCGACCAACGTGCGCTGCTGCGGGCCATTGCATGGATTCGGAGTGGTGCTCGTCTACAAGGTTTCAACGCCGGTGCTGTCGCTGTGCGCGCCACCGCGGTGATGTGTTGGCGATGCAGCACGATGGCGGCACTTTGACGACCGCAGGCTTGCGTAGTGCATGGACCAAGAGCCTCGCTCTTGTCGTCCCTTTTTGCCGAGTCCTCGCGCACCCAGGATATGCCGCCACGTGAAAGCACACGCCATGCATTAGGCGACGGATCCTTGTTTGCGACTCTGTCGATGTGTCATGCATTATGTTGGAAGCGCGACGTGAATCTAGATACATGCGAGCCAGGCATATTTTCCCATCGCATGCTGAACGAACTCGGCATGATGCTGCCGGACTCGACTCGCTCAACTCGTCATTTCTTTGAGGCATACCAAGCCACGACTTTGGGATGCATGCGCACGGCGTGGTAAATGGACATGGTGCGGGGGTACGGGTCGACGATGGCTGGCGACATGTCCGGCAGCCACCCCGACGTGAGCCGGTCGACGATGCCATGGATCGCCAAGTCGGCGAGGGACATGGCGTCCAAAAGCCAAGGCCCGTCGCCGTGGCTCTTCTTCGCGGCCGACGTCGCCGCCAACCTCGCTTCCAACAACGCCAGTTTGTCCGGCAACGGTTTCGCCGCCAACGCGTTGGTCAACTCGCGCTTGGCGGCCGGATCCGCCTCGAGTCGAGCTGGAATGAGCAGAGTCAGGATTTCTTCGTTGAAGTCGACGATCTCGTCCACAAGCAGCGCGGCGAGAGCGTCGGTGGTCGGGTACAGCCCAGACAAAGTGCCTGCGTACCGCTCAATTGCATGCGACTGCGAGTACACGACGCCATCCACGTCCAAGATTGGAATCTGGAGGAACGGCGTCGTGGGCTTGAGGGCTGGCCACTGGTCGCGAGGAAGGCGGTGGTCGTCGAAGGCAATGCCACCGATAGCAAACGCGAGGCGAGTGACCTCGGCGCGTCCGGGCATGTCAAAGTACGTGAGCTTCAGGCGCGGCATGTTGGAAAGTGCCAACGGGGTGCATGTTGAGCGACCTGTGGGGTGGCATCACGGCGTTTTTGTATGCCAAGGTCCTTCCATACTAAAACGAAGATATTGGACGCGCGAGAAAAATCCTGTGATGGCGCATGAGCGCCATCACCAGACGAAGCGGCGACCACGGCATTCAGGAAGCCTTTCCTCGCGCTACGTACGGCCGCGCACGACCCGCCATGCCCAATGCTTTCAAACTAGCGCTTGACACTCTAGCTGGGAGCTCCTGGTCAAGGCGAAGACGGCCGCAATGGCAGACTTCCTCTGGCCTATCCTCACTTTCCCATGAACGGCCCGCGAACAACGAGGCGTTGTCGAGCCCCGTCGCGCTCCTACGCCTCTCACGACGATGGTGTGAGCAACGCCACAAGTCGCTGCTCGACGACGTCGGACGGCTCCAGTCGTTCCGAGCTCACCCAAGCTTGAGTGGATTCGATCCATCTGGCCGACGACACTTCACGCTCGCAACACGTGCCGAGACGGTCTGTCGAACGGGATGTGAGGGCATCTCTCTACTCTGGGGGAACCGTGATCCCCGGTGCGACCTCCTCCACCCCAATGACTACGACAACGAATGCGACCGTCCAGCCTCTACCCTTCATGCGCACGAAACACGTCGGCCACCTCCACCGATCGATCGCTATCGATAGAGACCACGACACTCCGTGCTTTTCAATTGACCGTGGCGATTCAGCAGACGCCAAAACAACATTGTACGAAGGATCTGGTAGGATTGAGAGGGGGAGTTACTTGGCGTGCGCTTCGTTCCATGCCACGACCGCGGGATGCGCGGCCACGGCGTTGTAGATGGCCATGATCTTGGGATAGCCATCGCAAATGGTGGTCGGGATATCGTCCAAGAAGCCCGACTTCATCATCGACACAAAGCAGTACACATCCAAGTCAGCGATCGTGATCGAGTTGAGGAACCATGGGCCGTTGGAGCCGTACGACGCCAGGCGCGCGTCGAGCATCCCAAACATTTCAGGGAACGTCGTGGCGGCAAGCTCTTCGCGCATGGCCTTCTTCTTGGCCGGGTCGGCTTCGCGGAAGCTCGGGGCCACCTTTTGCATGACGTCTTCGCAAAAGTCGGAGATTTCGTCGACTCGGCACGCATCCAGGCGGTTCTCGGTCGGGTACAACCCGGCCAACGACCCAGCATATCGAGCAATCGCGTGAGACTGGCACAACACTTGGCCATCCACGGTCAGCGCCGGCACTTGCTTGAACGGCAACGTTTGCTTGAGCGCCGGCCATTCTTCGCGTTGGAATCGGTGGTCTTCGAAGGGGACACCGCCGATGGTCAAGGCCAAACGGACCGTCTCGGCGCGACCGGCCATGTCAAAGTACGACACTTTCAACGACGGAAACGACATGATGCGAGCAGAGGCGTCGGGTGGACCGGGCAAATCGGAAAATGGTTCATGACGATGGCCAAGAGCCGGCGAGTGGGGGAAGTATCCATGGAAGTCAGTGCCACTTGACTGGATTTTTGTATGGTGGCAGGCTAGCACAAACCCCGATGACGGCATCTTTCGAAAACGCAATCGGCGACGCCGCGAACCTTCGAGAACGTGGCCGCTGTTTACGAAGAGTTGCGATCCAAGCCCGGCAGTCGGCTCCCCTGCGGATGGAGGGACGTCGTGCGGTCGACCGCACCTGTTGGAAAGACTGGCGAAAGGTAGCGTGGATGTGTCCGAGTGTAGGGAGTCTTGTCCACATCGTGGCGGATGTGGTTGTCGCATCCCGTGTGGAGCTGCTTACGCCTCGCCAAGACCGCACCCTCGGCATTGTGTAGTATGGCGGGCGCGGCAACGCGTCGTGGGTGTATTGCGGTCCATATCGAGGTCCATGTTGCGATGGAAATGTCCCCTACGTTTCAATGTGCGGTCCAAGTGATCACTACGCTCCCCCCCCTTCGCGCACGAGTGGCGGCAGCGCACGTCGAACTCAATGGCAGCTCTTGTTCGCCCCTGCTTCCGATTGTGTCCGCCAAGCGTTGGGCGAACGACGCCGTCGTTTCACTCGACAGGACGTGCGTGAATAACACAGTTGACCATGCCTCCCAACACCGACAACGGTTTGTAGTGCTCTTGGGCACGTTTCCACGCGGCAACAGCGGGGTGGGCGGCGACGCCGTTGTAGATGGTCATGAAGGTGGGGTACTCGTCGCACGTGGTTGTCCAGACGCTGCCCAAAACCCCCTCGTTCATTATGATGACGAAGCCCTTCAAGTCTTCATCGGCAAGATGCGTGATCGAGTCGCGGAACCACGGGCCGCCCTGCGTTCCAGACGACGCCACACGTGCCTCCGACCCCCCAAACTTTTCAGGGAGCGTCGTCATCGCTAGTCGCGCATTGCTTGTGGCTAGACTGGGTCGGACGCAGAGAGGCTCGGGGGCCAACGGGGCCACAAGTCGTTTCAAACGTCTGAAAGCTCGTCCTCGCGGCAGGCGTCGACGAGGTCTTTTGTGGTACAGCCCAGCCTACGACGCAGCGTCCTGCTCCATCGTGTGACATCGCAGTTGTGCTGCTTCCCTTTCGGCAAGCGGACCTGTATGTAGTACAGCGCCCACAGGTCAAAACTTTGCATTTTTTTTGGTGCTTTACGTTCATCGGTACAAGAAAAATTAACATAAATATGTAAAATATTTAGGCAATATTACGACATTTCATGTGCAAAACGTACAACTCGAACAAACGACGTCGAAGTACACGATGATTACTCTGCGACGAGAGCCACAGTCATCGTCGCCTTCACGCACGACGGTCTCGTCATTTCTGCTCTTGCCGTCGCCCACCGGCACCTGTCGGCCATGGCCATGCCCCGTGTACCCTCCGCCGCGCTCAAACTGACGTACTTTGACTTTACGGGCAGGGCCGAGCCGATCCGGCTCGCGTTTGTCTTGGGGGGGGTCCCGTTTGAAGACGACCGCATCTCGTTTGCCGAGTTGGCCGAGTTGAAGCCGTCGCTTCCGAACCGCCAAGTGCCGGTTCTAACGATCGGAGGAAGAGCGATGTACGCACAATCCCACGCGATATTGCGGTATGCAGGCGTGGTGGCGGGGTTGTACCCCACGGAAGACCCCGTGGTCGCGCTGGCTGTCGACGAAATCGACGACTCGACCGCCGACATTCTCGAGCTCATGCTCTCCACCCGTCTGGAAGGAGACAAGGACAAGAAGCGAGCGCGGTGCGACGAACTGGTCCACGGCAAGCTGAAGGACATGCTGGGCTTCCTCGATGCCCGCATCGAACAATGCCGCCTGACGCATGGTACACTGGACAGAGATGGCAAAGGCGGGCCGTGGGTGCTCCATGCCAGGCTAACCACGGCCGACTTGGCAGTCCACAACCTCGTGGGCATGACCAAGTTGGGCTGGCTCGAGTTCATCCCGACCGACTTGTGCGACTCGTTCCCGCGACTGGTCGCGATTCATCTCGCCATTGCGACGCATCCGACGGTAGTCGCGTGGAAGTCCAGTCGTCGACCGTAAGCCACTTGCCGCGGCTGTACCTCTCCGCCGTGCCATGGTCCACTGCATCCAGCAACACTAAAACCAATCACGATTTTTCAAAAACGTCCTCCTTCCACTTCGCCTAACTACTCTAAACCACGCGTCGTAAAGCCAGCATTTGCGCGGCGTTGCTACTGCTGGTACGATGTCGTCCCTGCTCGCCTTGGGGACTCGACCACGTACGAATATCACGAATGAAGTGGGCGAGAGACGGCATGGACAAAGGTGCTATCCAACGCGATGGCATTCAGGTCTTTCCCGCACAGCAGCCCTCGGACTGTCGGCGTCCGTGTCGAGTGTCGACGATTTGCAAAACGCAGCCATTTTCTGCGGTAGGGCGTCAAGGGGGATGTCCACGGGGCATGGATGCATATCGTGACCATCGCGACCTTGTGGTGGTGTCAAGGCGCTACTGCCATCTCTCTCGTTGCCGTGGAAGGGGGGCGTCAGGAAAAAACTGCGGGGAGGGAGGCGCTCCATGTGGATGCGTCCTGGGCTTGTCTCGACGCTGCTTTGGGAATGCCAAGGCACTCAATGCCAGTGCCGTGGCCTCCTCGTCCACCGCGCCACTCGTGAAAACTCCCGTGTCGACCGTTTGTAATGCTTGAACAGATTCACTCGCACGCGACACGGGCAAATGCCGGCCGTCCACGCTCTCGGCGCGGGCAGCAGCATTGGGGCGAGAGAGCATTGCAAGTCGAATGGGCGGCGGCGCTGGCTTCTGGCGCTCGGGTGCTGGTGGGTCTTCGTCCCCATCGCGCAGCTTTCAAGTGCAGGTGGGAACAACGGAGGCGTTAAAATAGGTTTTAAGTTGAACCGAATGTGTCGCGGGAACGCCCCGAGCTTTCACAACAGTGTGGGTGATTGGATGCACGAGATGGAGCGGCTCAGGCACGTGGGTGTGTCCGTTTACGTCTCCGTGCAGTGCGCCCGTTGCTTTGTATCGATGGGACTCGGTCTTGCCGAAGCTCAACGTGGACGAGGGTCTTCGACGATGTTTTTGACAACAAGGTTTTTCATAAAACGCATGGTCCGAATCCTCGTGTTCTGTCGCCATATCACCCACCGAGAACGAACTCACGCTTGCCGACCGCTTCATCTCGAGAATGTCCAGTGCACCAGGATCGAATCGCTCGATGGCGTCGCCGCTGTGCGTCGTTCTCCGGGGGTGCCGCAACCTCTTGGCCGTCGACGGCATGCAGACCAACAACAACGTGCACTGCGAAGTGTTTCTCATCGAAAAGGATGGCCGGCCGCGAGCACCCAAGTTCAAGACCCGGAGCATCAAGGCCACGGCCAACCCCATGTACAACCTTCGGTGCGACTTTGGGACGCCGTCGTTCGACGTCGTTGGCGGGCTCGTCGTATCGATTCGACACACGGGGGGCCTCGGCCTCAAGAGCTGCGACCTCGGCGAGGTTGTGCTCACGCCGGCAGATCTTCTCGACATGAAACTGGTACACGTCGCGCGCACTCGTTTGCTGAGCATCGTTTTCACGCGGCATGATGGGTTCCCGTAGCAATCCAACACAGACGGATGGTACGACGTCGTGGCGACTCCCGACATGGCATCCAAAGGCCTCGTGAACCGGCCGCTCGGCCAAGCCCGCTTGGTCCTGGACGAATCCACGGAACGGCCGACGTCCACGTCGATGGACGACCCGGCGCCGCTCCCACCACAAGCGTCCTTGACCAACAACAACAACATCGCCATGATGGCCAAGCTGTCGACACGCGCGTTCTCGACATGCGATGTCCATCACGACCCGCACTTCGAACTCAGCATGCTCACAAAGTTTGCCAAGCTGTATCCGCAGCGCGGCCAGACGTGGTTTGCCATTTCGTCGGCGTGGGTCATGCAATGGCTGTCCTTCGTCACGGACGCATCCAACGATACGCTCTTTCCTGGCGAGGTGAGCAACATGGAGCTCGTCGACGATGAGTTGGAAGGCGGGTTTCTCCAAATTCGACCCGATGTCGCGCTCATCTCGGACTTTCGGTACGCGATTCCTTGGAGCGCCTTGCGTGGACCAGTGGCCCGGCGCAGGCCCATGCTCATGTGGATCTGGTAGGCTCATTGACGGCGACACGTGGAAGCTGTACAAGGCATGGTACGGCGGAGGTCCGACGATTTCCGTTCGGATTCCCGATGCGATCCCGAGCGTGAGTGGTTGGATGAAGTCGATGAAGCTCAAGGACGTAGCGATGATTGTGGCGTCGTGAATAGTGATGTAGACATGGCGCTCGCGCGTGACGTTGTTGTGGTGGTGCTCGTCGTTTGTTTTGGGATGCACGGTCGCGGTGGGGAGGGCTGCATCGGTGAATACAACATCGATTCGTGCCTGGATCCACGAACAGCACGTATGTTCAAGGCAGCACACGGTCGCGGCGACGTGGACGGAAGGGGTGGCGCGCAGGATTCCATTATTGCGGCGGCATGGACAGCTCGCCATCCACACGACAAACGATATCGCCTTGACCAGTGTATCGTCGGAGATATCTCCACACAATTGTTTGGGGACGAAAGGACGTGTGGCACCAGCCTCTACTCGTGTGGCTAGCATTGCCAAGACATCGACCAACGATTCAATCGCGCATGCGGCTTGCAAGCCATCGTAGCAGCACACAGCTGCCCGATCCTTGACGACGAGAAGCGGTCTGGACGATCACGTCCTCAACGTGGGGCTCCAAATCTTCTGTCGTGAGCCTCCGCTGGTCCATCGCAATGCTGCTGCTTTCGCTCCGTTCGCTCCTGCACGCGTCGCTTGGCTTGCAAGAAGTGTCGAACACCACACTTCAACAGTCGTGGCTTTCAAACGTTGAAATCCTGCAATTGCTGACGCTGCATGGCATGTCGGGATCACTCGCAGCGAATCCATGCCGCTCTTGCAGGTGTGGCGAGCGGATCAAATGCTGGGCAGTCGTCAGCGCTGATCGAGCCCTTGTGTCAACGGTGCTGGCAATTTTGCAACGACCATGGCGCACCTCGCGGCAGCATCAAGCGGATATCGCCCGCAACGCGGTCCAAGTCCAACGGATCCATGCGACCGATCTCAACCCGTTGTTCATTCCCGAAATGGAGGTCCCGCCGAACCTCCGAGCGGCCACGACGTTGAGTCGATCCTAGTGTTCCAAACGCAATTCTGTGCGCCCTTGCATGGCGACGTGTGCACAGTGACGACGAAGCGAGCGCCGACGCAACTTTAGTGATCCTTGCCCGGCATCACATTATCCTCCCCGATTTTCAGAGCATTCTTCCCACCCAAGGCCATTCTCGCCGTCACCGCCAAACGTGCATGTCGTCGATGGTGCCGTGGTGGGAAAAGCATCTTGCTCGATTCGTACGCAACTTTGTAGAGCTGTCTTGGACGTGACCGAACGCGATGCACCTCTCTCGTTCTTGCGTGGTCGTTTCATCGCCTTCGAGCTACTCGCAGTCGTCGGTTGCGGTATGCATGCCCGCGCCACCATCCATTTTCTTCGCTGACCATTCGCCTCCAAGTTGTGGCTGCACGTGAGCTATACCACGCCGACCGCGAGCATCGCTTGCTCTCTATCGTGAATCTCGAGCTCCCAAGAAAATTTGCGTGGCTTTCCGGCGGGTAGGAACGTGAGGTCGGTAGGAGCCATGCCACTTGAATTAGAAAGACATCATTGGCGTGCATTTGGGCGTCAAGCATCCACTTGAGATCGGCGCCGGTATGATCAAAGGCAGCGGCCAGGGCATCCAACACACCGGTGGCGTTCGTCAGCAAAGCTCTCTGGCACTACAGAAGCTATGATTGCCATGGGTGGCCAACCGCGCACGATCTCGGCGCTGTATGGGATCGGAGGGACTTGAAAGGAACGTGGCAGCCTGTCGCGAAACCGAACGTATGGAATTCGATGGATCAAGCGAGGCGACCGTGGCCATCCTCATTGAATGTGGCCATGCAACTCTTCAACTCGCTTGGTGAGGCGTTGGCTGGCGTCATGAAAGACGCGGCGGTCAACCAGGTCCCGGCGGCAGTATTCGCCATCTACTTTACCAACGAGTGCGGGCTTGACTTGCCGGTATTCTGCTCCGTGAACAACTTGATTTAGGTACATCCATCCACCCATGCCAGACTTGGAGCTGCTGGTTCGAACGGATCTGCGGCACCTGTTGTCGGGCCGAATGAAGTGCAGCAACATCCACGACATCTCGTCATGAATTGCTCGTTGAGTTCCGCGTCGTAGCCGTTGAGGTGTATACATGTATCTTGCCACGGGAGGTCGAGTGCCCGTGTGTCAGATGATGGCGGCCATGGGCATCGTAACCCCTTGGAGGTGTTTCAGCGTTGGCAACGAGTGATGATGTCCGTGTCGATGATCTCGTTGGGCTGCAGAGTTCGACGTATATACTTCATGCGTCCCTACAAGGTCATTGCTCTCGTCCAAGCAATGTTGAATGCGTCGTATGCGGTCAAGGCTGAACGAGACTCCAACGAGCGTCATGCCACACGCACAACTGCGAGGCCAACTTGGTGGAGTCGGCGAAACATTTCCAGCAACGCCATCGGGGCAGCGCAATTGATGCAATTGTTGCCCATCTGGGCGATATCGTCTTTGATTGGACAAATTGCGCGAAATCCGGCCAATCAAAAGCCGGCTTTGGCCATCTCGATCACTTTTGGACCCCACAGCGCTTCATTTGCCAACTCGACCGGCCTCGCGCACCATGTTCCGCTCGCTCTTGAAACCTGCCGCCGCTGCCGCCCGCTTCGTGCACACTGAAGCTCGCATCAAGGAGCTCGGGTACACGCTTCCTGCCGTTGCCACCCCCAAGGGCAACTACCGCAACTCGGTGCGCATGGGCAACCTCATCTTCACGGCTGGCCACTTGCCTCAACCTGCGGGCGGAGAACTCATCAAGGGCAAGGTCGGTGTCGACCTCACCCCTGAAGAAGGATACGAAGCTGCCCACCACGTCGCGCTCGCGTTGGTTGCCACGTTGAAGCAAGAACTCGGCGACTTGGACCGCGTCAAGCGCATCGTCAAGGTCGTCGGCTTTGTCAACTGCGTCGACGGATTCACCGCGCAGCCGTCCGTGATCAACGGGACGTCCGACACCCTCGTCAAGATTTTTGGCGACCGCGGCATCCACGCGCGATCGGCCGTTGGCACGAACGCGTTGCCGCTCGGTATTCCCGTCGAAGTTGAAATCATCGTGGAAATCCAAGACTAAACTAACACGAGTGTGATGCAATCAAAATGGACTGTTCTGTACTTGTGGTATACATCTAAATCTCGACATGGCGACCGCCTCGACCAAATACACTGGAGCCGGGCGGAGCGGGGGGTTGCTGCGGCGGTGGCAGCGGCGGCGGAGTGATCGAACCTGCGCGCTGCACCCGCGTCGATTGTGGCGGCGCAAACACACCCGATGTGGCTTGGAATGGCGCAGCGAACACGTTGTGTCCGTTTTGTCCATGGGTACCATTTGCATAGTGCGACGGAGTCAACGACGCAGTGGGGTACGTCGAGCGCTGCTGTTGGATGTTGGACGAGTTTTGTCGCTGCATGCGACCACCGCCATGCTGTTGCTGCTGTTGTGAGGTAGGTGGCGGCGAGTGGTGGTGGTTGCTGGTGTTGTTGCGACGGAATTGTGCCAATTGTGACTTGGTTGAGTTGCTGTGGCTTCGAGGACGGTCGCTGTCTGACGCGTTGCTGGATCGTCGGGATGACGAACCACTTCCACTGTTAGCACGCTGCGATTGTTGCTTGATGTGTTGCTGAGGATGCTGGGATGATTTCCAATGGTTGTTGATATTTGTACCAGCAGGGGCAAAAGATGCGACGTTTGTCGGTGGCGGCAACGGCAACGTCATGGCTGATGGTTGAGTTGGCAGAGGCGGTTGCGTCGCTTGAGGGTCCTTCTCTTCGTCCAACAACGTGATGCGAAACTTGACATCATCTACGTCGGTGTTTGGTTCCATCCCCATGACTTTACCAGGGAACTCCAACCCTCCATCAGCCCCCTTGGGCTGACGGATTCCGGTCACGGCAGTCTCTGGCGCAGTGACCACGTTGATCACGCGCTGCGCGGGATTTTTCGTGCGGGCGACCTTTGGAAGGAGAATGGATGCGACTTCTGGTTGCAGTTGCGGCACAGAAACCAACGACGGATTGGCCGTAGGAGATTGTTGGACAACAGTTGACACAGAGTTTGGTTTGCGAGTTTCTTGAGCATGACGCACGGTCTTCATTAGTCCCGCAACTTCGTCTCGCGACTTGCGATTCAAAATGGGATCTTGGCGCAAAATGACTCGCAAACGGGCGTTCACAGTTGTGAGTTCCTTGTTTTCGGCTTCCAACGTTTGAACGTGATTTTGAAGGTTGACGTGGCTCTGTTGCAACGCATTGCGTTCACACACAACTTGGTGGAGTTCAAGTTGCAAGTGGCGAATTGTGTCAACACCTTGAGCAGATTGCAGGCGAAGAGTCTTGTGCGTGTCCTTAATACGGACATGGGCCTGCTTGAGGTACTCGACCTCTTCTTGGAGCTTGATAGCACGTTGATTGGCCGCTGTAAAGGACGCGCCATTGACGTACGCGCCCCGCTCCATTTGGTCCTTTTCCTTCTTTAGCGTGGCATTTTGCGCTTTCAAAGCCGCGTTTGCTTCCTTGAGCAAGGCCATTTCCGATCGCAATTGGTCGATCATTCCGCTCGCCCCTTCCAATTCTTGATCCAAGCCAGGGGCGTCCTACCCACGATGTCCGAGTCAGCATAACCCATGACGCAGTTGTCGAGATAACTACAAGTAGTTGCATACCACCATCATGCTCGAACGGCGCTGGAGTTGCTCGTTGCGAGCCTTTTCTTCGCGCAAACGATCCTTGAGACGCTGAATTTGGTTCTCCAACTTCGCCTCTTCTTTGGCTTGCACCAACATGCGGGCATAGGTCTTCTTTGCGATAAAACCTCGAACCAGACATTGGATCTTCAGTACGGCATGGCGAATTCGTCCTAGCAAATTTCAATTAAATCAGCACTCAGGCATTTTGGAGATGCACCACCGCAATATCACGGCAGAAGTGGAAGCGAGGATATCAATGGCTTACCGTATGCTTTTTGCGCACGATGCATCTTCACCACAGACTGAATCTGAGTCGCGCGTTTCGTGCGCCGCTTGCCATGTACAATGTGAGTAGCCACGTAGCATCGAACGGCGCATTGCAGAGTGATGGCCGCCTGCCGCATTGCCAAGTATCGCTGGCGCACCATATATCTACACGATGATCCCAATCAGCTCATCCATCAACTCAATTTGGGCAAGACTAGCAAGCTCAAAAGATGTAAGAAAGATGTCATACCCTCGGGAATACGCCTGCAGCCGCACGGCGGCGCATCGAAGAGTCCGAAATTTGCTCTGAGCGAGCCAACCCCGCAACATACGCTGGAGGTGGATGGCGCATTTGTTGCGCTTCGTCGTGCGGAGTTCCTACACCAAGAGAGCAAATCCATCAGCATGAAATAGAGTTGCCTCAAACGACGCACCTCCAAGCGTTCGAGGGCACCGGCACGGAAAAACACACGGGTTTTACCCAGCTGGTAGTCCGAGGTGGGCAGCATTTGCGCCAAAAATTCGTCGCATGATGCGACTGGCACTGGGTGTCTCGGCAAAAGCATTTGAAACCGGTCCAAGCAGTGGTCTTGAGTGAGGCGGTTCGGGAACGCCGATCGACTGATCTTCACGGCTTCAACGACACCCGCGCATTGCAATTGCCCCGTGACACTTCCCTACAAGGTGAAATGGTTCGTGGATACCAAACTTGAAGAAACTCGCGAAGTTTCTTGGGAGCATTACCTTGGAGAAGAGTGACGAGCTCTTGGTTGCGTTGGGTTTGATACAGCGCACGTATTGCACGTGAGTGCGACGAATGTCTTCCATGAGAGCGTTCAACTGCGACTTGAACTGGGTACCCACAGAGTCGCCCAAAATCGAATTCGACCGCTTGAGGCGGTTCGTGACCGGCTTTTCAGCTTGCGGGAACAGCGACAGGACAAACGGAGATGATGATCGGTTCAACAGCAGCAAGGTATCGCGTTGCAACATGTCCGTGTTCTTGACGAGGAATCCTACAAGGATTTGAGGTCACGCGAATCACCATAAGAAATCGACACTCACCACTCGTTTCATAGATTACTTGACCAGCATAATGGTGGATAGTGAAGCAGTTGCGCTTGAGACGTGGCAATTCAAAGCGATCGTTGTCGTTGTAATGGGCCGACAACTTGTTTGTGAACGCAGCATCCGAACCCTTGGGTCGCATGCATTCTACATTCGGATGACGTGAAGTGTGAAGGAATTCTTATGCAGGAAGCGGCATACCTTCGTTTAGCAGAGCCAAGAGCCCAAACCGTCCTTCGATCAGTTCGAGCACGTTCATGTTGTCAGCATATTCGATCTTGGTCCATGGAATGCCCTCTTCTTCGTACTCGACTTGAATCGACTTGAACACGTCTTGCGTGAATTTTTGTTGCAGTTTCTCGTTGGCATAGTTGATGCAGAGTTGCTCAAATGAATTGGTTTCGAAGATTTCAAACCCAAAAATGTCCAAAATACCTACAATAGTCGAGTGGATATCAATAGAAATTCACAGCGCAACACAATGCTTGAGATCATAAGAACGTACAGATTCGTTGAGCTACATGCATCTTGGACGTCGTCGATGCATTCACATGGGTGACCAACCATTCAAACAGCTTGCTATACAATGCCACGCCCAACGCTGTTCGTGCATTCGTCGCCTGGTCCATTGTGTGCGGGACCTACAAATCTGTGGTTAGTTTGGTCTCGAAAAAGATTCGGCATGATAAGCATGGATGGCAAACAAATCTAATCCTACCGTGTATGTATCCAGACCGGCAGACATTTGACGGGTGCACAAGCTCTGTTCGAAATCCTGCGCGTCCAAGCCGAGCAATTTGGAAATCGCTGTGACCGTGGTGGAATCTGCCACCATGGTAGCTTGATCGCCTCCTGTGAAATCCACGCGACCAAGGTGCAAAATGGCTGCCACTACTCCAAACACAGACCTATGACACATATTGTCATTGAAAAGGCCTCAAATTTTGTAGTGCGAACATTTGATCCTCTTCGGAAATACCGAGGGTCGTAAGGCCCTTCAACGTCCGATGGAAAAATTCTGCGTCCAATTCCTTGACGGCATTTCCATCGTCACAAGCGACGCCTCTACCGTAATGAAATCCTGATGGTGAGGTCTCATCAACAGACATGCGAGCAACAAGGAAACATACCTCAAGAATGGAAATACAGTTGGGTCAGATTCGGGAAGCTCAACGCGCTCGCGAAATTTTTGCGGCGCTGCCAGCAGCTGGTAGAATATGTGATAGTTGCGTTCACCTTTGCCATGGGTCGATACTACAGACAAGCAGTTGGGATAAACATGTCAAGCCATCCATGCTCTGGAAAAGGTATAAAGCGAAAGGCAAAACCAACCTCGAGACTTCTCCAGCAGGTATGTGATACATCGAGCCCCCACAAGTTCGCCGTCGGTATTGAATTGCAGCTCGCTAAACTTTCCGAATCGCGACGAGTTGTCGTTACGCGATGTTTTAGCATTCCCAAAGGATTCCATGAGCGGATTCGACTGCAAAACGCGCTCGACAATGTTGAGCGTGATGTCCCTGTTGTGGGCATCGCCACGATCGCCCGCGGTCGCCAAGTGAGACATTAGGATCTTCGTGGTTTCGGTCTTCCCTGCACCGGATTCACCACTCACGAGGATACTTTGGTTGTGTCCCGTTGTTTTCATGTGATGAAACGCGCGTGCACTCACAGCATACACGTGCGGTGGCAGTTCAGCGAGTCTGTTGGTGTCTAAGTACTGCTCTTGAATTGTTGGGTTGTATATGTCAAGCCATTTGTACTACAAAGGATGCATCAGAATGACATTCTTAGTACACTGATCAACGCGACACACAAGAATCTATTGCGAAGTCTCCATCAGGAAAAGCGACGTACGGGATTCACTGCGATACAAATGGGACCGGTGTAAGTGTAGGGCAACCCACAGTGAAAGCGAGCCTTCAGGTTGTACAAGATAGCAGCTTCGTGGAGGTAATTCAAGTTGACCATATCTTCACATCCTTCTTGAGGGAGTTCGTTTTGGAGGCACACGCTGGCTTTCTATACATACACAGAACGACACGACCATTAATCAGTACACATCTCTCGAGCACTCGTCACTCTCTACCGACGTACCGGGACGGTACGTTGGGATAGTGTTTGTGGGTGATCGTCCATGTCTTCTTCTGACGGGTCTGGAAATGTCTGCACCTCGACGGAATTGTCGTCGGACCGAAGAATCTCTGCCGCAATCCACGACACCTTGCTGTCTGCAATGTACACCTACGCATCGATGCGTGTGCAAATGAGCATCCCATCCATCGCGTGCTTCCGTCACGGTCCATCTTCCTTACTTTGGTATGTTGATCGGCCATGCTGCTTCCGAGTCTGTCCTTTCCGCGTCGATGTGTCTCTCCGCGCTTCCGTTGCTTGGATTCAAATTGAAAAGTAAAGACGCGGGGAAATGGCGATCAGGGCTACCAATCGCACTTAATGAGGTTCTAGCGAAATCCCGTTCGTGGACGCGGACAAACCCGACTAAGTGCGATTGCCTCGCCACCGCGTCGTCAGCCCCACAGTGGACTGACGCATCCGCTGACCACATAGAGACGGATTTGCCACTGAGTGGACGGGGATCTGGCGGTAGATGCCGCCAATTGCCTGGCGCTGTTGACGGGATATACACTCGATCTTGACACACCATGTCGTCGCTGTCGCAACCGCCGGCAAGTTCAATCCTCGCGATGTCGAGACGCCCCTGGACGCGCACATAGACAAGAGCCGCCGCTGTCTTTTGCCATGTCACCCACGGCTGCGTGAATCCCCCACAGGACGCAGCACGACAAACACCTTTGGTGGTTGTCTGTGCTTTTCGTTGAGGAGTGTGGCTGTCACGTTTCAAACCGACAACGCGACCGCCAATCCACGTGTGCATTGTTGTAGACATTCTTGTCTACAATTGACGTGGACGGACGTTGACTCGGACGACGGGCCACGCCGGAAGATCATCCACAAAAGACGTCGAGTACTGTAACACTCATGCAGCGTCACCCACGCGCCCTAGGCGCGCTCGCGGACCGACGAGGGTGAGAAGCTTTGAGCAGGCGCCCTTGCGCCGCCGATGAGTACACGACTTCACTTTTTCGCACTTAACGGAGCACTTCAAGTCATTGACTGGCAGATGGTTTTGCGCTTGGGACATCCGGATAATGTTGCGCCAGTATGCGGAATATCAAGTTCTCTGCCGCTTGAATGCCATGGTGCGTCAATTACCAGCACGGACACTGCGTCTTGTCCAAGTCCTACACCGACATGGCGACCGAAGCCCGCTCCACAACGTATTCAGAGGCGGCGAACCGTGTCTAGCGGACGCGGAAGACGCCGTCTGGATCCCAAAGCTGCACGAGCCGCAGTCAACGACGGATATCTACGGGGCGCTCACGACAACTGGAGTGTATCAAATGGAAGGTCGCGGCCGCAAGCTGGTGCGATGAGTTGTCTCTTGCGTGAATGCCTGTTGAGATGGATTTTTGTTGTTGTGGGTTAGAGAGACCACTGCCGCGCACAGGGCTGGACGTTGGACGGCGACGACGTCGACATACATGCCCGCAGCACACATTACGTCCGAACACAACGAAGCGTCCAAGCACTACTCTCCCAGTTCGTCCCGCATGCACACAGCAACCTCACTCTGGAGATCCTTCCCCCTACCTCGGATTACATCAATGGTTGGTTGTGTTTGCTGGTTGACCTGAAGTTCCCCATGTGATTATGCCAACTAGCGTACAATGCAAATGCCGACAGCATCATGCAGCTCAAGACACATTTAGTAGAAGCTCATGCAGCGCTCGCCACTCGGGAAGCGGCCATGGCTTCCGTCCAGACCGAGTTGCGGAGATTGCTGCCTATGTTTTCGTCCGGGTCTGAGGCGTTTTCGTGGATGAAGGCGGCGGATTACTACATCTGTCGCCATGCACACGGCATTCCCTTTCTCCGCCATACAGAGGTAATCGCTGTCACGAGAGAGACGTGGTTTACTTGGATGGTAGGACTTGGCGGCACAGACGATCGCCCACTTAACGTATCGATTCCACGAGGTTACCCGATTTCTACTAGAGCTGTAGTTCGCCTCAACGTCGTCGGAAGTAGTTTTACTCGCACGGCCCGATACTTCGACGAGTCGCTGGGCCATTGGTGCAGCAACTCGTTGCCGAGGTCCGACCTACGTGCAAAAGTGCGATGCTCACCGTGTTCCGGCAGATGCAAAACGTCATGGACGGCAACACCACGTCCGCCGAACGAGTCGTCATTTATAGCGGCCACGACGTGTCATTGCTGGCATTCTTGAATGCATTTCACGGGGCGGCTCAGCAATGCCGTGGCGCACCCACGGTTGTCGAGTGGCCTGATTATGCAGCGGCCGTCACGATGGAGCTGTACGAAGAGCACTCCGCAAACTCGACCCCACGATGGGTCGTGCAGGTTACGTTGGATGGCGCAGCCCTTGGTCCCACCTCTGCTGCGGCATCCTTCTGCCGCGACTTGCTTGACGCCGTGTCTTTGCCCTCCATGGATTCGTTCCCTTAGCTGGACAAGCCATGCAGCATTCGCAGCGACTCATTCTCGTCGACACCACGGCTTTCCTCGTTCGGGTTGTAACGCCGAGTTCGCCTACGCTGGATAAGTTGCGCCATGCCGTGTGCGCTTGTTGTCCATCCTACCATAACACAACAAAGACGGATTTAAAGCCATCAACTTGCTCAACATCGCTGTCGGCATCCGCACCGACGGATATTGGCCGTGATTGGTGTCTGCGTTGGTTATGCATGGTAGGTATATCCTCCGTTCGCATGACTTTTCCGCTTCTGAATCCAAGGCAGTGCACGTCCACGGGCAGCGCCATGCCATTGTGGACACCCGTCAGGAAGTGGAGCACCGCGTCAACTGCCGACATGGCGCACGCACCTTGCCGACCCGACGCAGCCCCCTCGGCCAGCCGACGACCTCCAGTGCGAAAAGCCATTGCGACACATCCACAACTGAACACGCCACTTGAAGATTATACCTAGCTCGACGAGGGTCCCTCACTCGACGAGATCACTCCTACAAGTCTTTGTGCTGGCACTGCCCGCGAACGCAGACAAAGTTCGGGTTTAGGTCGTCCACCCAATTGCACTGGACATCGTAATCGCAGCAGTCAAAGTACTTGTAGCCCGCGCATCGGCCTTCCGTGCGCTTGCGGCCGCCTTCGTCCGTGTACGGACCGGGTTCAAGGGGCGGGACCGGGTCTGTCGCCTGCCACGGCGGCATTTGGTCATCTCGTAGGTTTTGGATTGCCAGACGTTCTTGCTCTTCGTCGCCCCGGCCGTGCACGACGCGGCGGTGCTCCTGCGACGTGCGCGGCACACACTGCGAGTACACTTCGTTGTACTGAAAGCACGTGTCATCGTCGCGGCACACCTTGTTGGTCGCGGTAAAGCCGACGCCGCCGCATTGCGCGTACGTGGCAAGGGCATTCTCTTCGTCGTCGGTCGTTGCAGGCTGGCACTGCGACAACCATTCGTTGATGACCTGGCACACGTTGCCAGGCGTGCACACCGAGTCGCCGCGGTACGCTTTCCCGCCGCACTGTTCCCATGCCGCCACCGTCCCCGCCGCCGCACTGTGCTCCTTCCTCTTGGGCTGCTTGGGCTCGCACAGCGACAGGTAGTCGTTTTTGCGCACGCACTCGAACGAAGCGTCTTGGCAGCACACGCCAAACGGCCAGTTCTGGCCGTTGCATTGGCTCCACTTGGTGCTGCACACGTTGGACGAGTTGGCCTTGGTTGCGCCGGTGGTCGGCGGCGTCGTCAAGGCCGCATCGGCCGTCGGGATCGACGTGGTCGTAGCTGGAGTCGTCGACGTCTTGGCCACGGTGCCAAACACACAGCCACGGGCACCCGATGAAATGTTCTGGCACGTGGCGTCGGCCGGCGCAACGCACGTGGCGGTCGCGCCGACATAGCTCGACAAAGTAGACACGCAGTCGGCGACGGCCGCGTCGCCCTGCTTGGGGCACACGTCTCCTTGGTCGCCGCAGATCGCGCCTTGCACGCAGTATGTAGCATCACCCACGACACTTACGTTGGTGCAGGACCGCACAGCGTGGCGATCGTGCACTCTTTGGCTGGCAGACACGGCCACCGCCAATGCGACGACGGCGCGCATGTTGGCAAATGGACGGCGACGAAGACTTCGTTGTGGGGAGAGGTGACACTTGACGACCAAATTCGGTACTACACGATTGTTGGGGTCGAGACCCGCAACGACTGTTGAGGTCGTGGCGGTGGCACACGTTCTGCCACGTTTGCGATGGTTTCCGTGACTGTATGCGGTGGCGGACGTCGGCGAACGGACTCAGCTCTCGCCTGCCACGGCGACCGACGGCGGCTTCTCAACAAGTGGACCCTACATGTCCCAATGGTCCAGGACATGTCGACCGTCCTCCATGTCGTGGGGTTGAAAAAGTCAGTCGCGGTGGTCGGCGGCGCACACTTGCAGTCGACTCGCGTTCGTGTGCACATGGGGCGATCGAGAGGGGTGGATGGCAGGACGAATCGGGTCGTTGGGGCATCCAGTAGTCGTTTGGAGCGAGCACAGGAGCCGCAGGAGGAGGAGGAGGCAGTGCGCCGTGAGAGCATGTAGGTGTCTGGTGCTAGGTGTTGGACGAGCGCGGAAGGCTTTCCAGCGCTGATACACACATGTGCCAATCCAAATGGACGCACATGCCGTTGCTGGCAAGGTAGTCGACGGCAGCTGGCTTAGAGCCGCCCTTGTAGCCGTATCGACTGCCGACGTGCGAGCACACGTCATAACTTGTTCAGATATGTCAACGTGCTCGTTCGAGGCAAGGCAGTGCGCCAACTCGGCGGTCCCGACTGCCGAAGACGCTCAACACGACCCGCAGCGGCCTTGGTTGCGCACTGGGTTGATGTACGTCGTCCAGTCGGCTGGTACTTCTTGGCCGGCGACTCGGTCGCGGGAAGGGACCGGAACGACCTGTGGGCTTGCGACGTCCTTCATGAGCTCACCGTCCGTCCACAGTGCGTACGGGCGTTTGTTGTCGAATGCACCCTATCGTAGTCGAGGCCGACAACTCGACGTGCCAGACCCACCGCACTGCTCCAACCACGCCGTCATCGCCGTCGACCCGATGTGCGTACTTGTCGCCTTCGAAAGCCGCCCTCTGATGCGCTCCAACGTGACCCTCACTCGACGACAAACCACGAGCTGCAGAAACACACGAGCCGTTGGATGGCGTTCGAGGCGGGCTTTGTTACATGGAGGGACGGGCTTTCATGCAAATGTTGTGGTGGACTCGACAGGGTGATCTGTTGCGAATCGACTTTTCATGTCGGCGTGGGTTGGATGAGACCTGCCGCGACGCCTCGATCCTCCTGTGTATGCCACCCTCTCGTCAATCCACGCAAACGATTTCCCTGACAGACGTCGCATGGTTTACCGCGAGAGGACCGAGAAAGAAAACGAACGGCATGGTACACCATCGTCTCTTGACGCACAAGGGACTGCCGGTCGACGTGGAGAGATGTCGACATGGTTCATCTCTCTTGGAGTCCTTGGGTTGGGACCAACGTAACGTTGGAGCTGACCAAGTGTGTGCAGTGTGAATTTTCGAGCTATCTCGCAAGGACGCAGGCAGAGCGACGTGTCAGTTGTACCTCGCTCGAGTCGAGCGCACATCGCTGGATGGTGTGTTGTGCCTTGATCGAGATCCAGAGCTTGGACGACATGGACCTACCACGTACTGGGACGAGGACAGTCCCGGCACAAGAAGAGCAGCGACCGAGTCCCCGAACCATCCCGACGCAAAAGCAAAAAGGGCTCCAACAATGAAAACTTGGACCAAATTTCAACACACCACGTCCCAGCGCTAGAAAATCTGCACGCTTTGAATCCAAAATCGATGGAGCGGCGACATTGTCGCGTCTAAAATCCAAAGCGCAGCGGCGTGCGAAGCGGCGTTTTCGCGTGCTTGTTGCTCCGGCCGGGGGTGACCCTAATCGACAAGTCGTGAGCGGTCGCGACTCGTTGCGAGTCGTACATGGCGTGTTTCGACGCGGTTTTCGCCTTTTTTGCAAGCCGCTCCTCTTGCTCGAGGGCAAACTGGTCCTTCTCGTGCTGCATCGCCATCTCGTGCTCCATGTCAGCACGTTCGTGCCGTTCCTTGGCGCGCTTGAGCAGTCGCGACTTGTAGCTTTCTTTGACACTGAAAAACATCGGACCGAGCTCGGCGAGCCATTCGCCTTCCACCGAGGTCGCGCACTGCATGTATTCCTACACAATAGCGCACACACCACCACCCGATCAACACCACTGCACTCGCAGCCCCAACCACGTCGCCACAAAACGCGCCAGTCGACCCGACTAAAACCACGGACTCCATCAAATCCAGCACGACTGCCGGCGCAGGACATTATTCACACGAGCTTTCACGACCTGCATCGTCATGCACGAAAGGTTGGATGGAAGACATCGACACCATCCTGTTGCCGTCTCCAACAACGTGGTAATACTCGCGACAACTCGACCACCCCAACAGTCGCACACAATGCGCATGCATGACAGAGCACGCAATCCAAACAACATCGACTTGCGGACTTGTCCGCTTTCTTACCTTGGTCGTGTAAATGAGTTCGTGGTACACGACAAAGTCGGGCGTGTACCCGAGACCAAACAACGACGAGCTCGGGTGCAAGTTGCACGGCATGCCGGTCAGCATGTTGACGTATTCGCCGATGCCTTTGATTTGCGCCGAGTTGTAAAAGTAGGCCGAGCAAATGGCTTTGCGTACGACGTCCCAGTGCGTCCCACAAGTGGTGAGCGGCATCTTTTGCTGCTTCATGATGTCGACGAGTTGCTCGCGAACTTCACGCGCTTTGCGCATGCCCTTGGAGTGGATGTAATGGTCGTTCGCCCACGATTGCGAATAATTGTTGGCCTGCAAGCGCACATTTAAAGTCAAGTCTGGCAGAGCCGTTGGCGACAAAGGATGCCCACTCTAAAACTCTGTACAGCCACGTGCAACGTGCCCTCACGTCCACTCAAAACTTCGACTGCTCGACGACCGGACAATGGGTGAGCGTCAGCCATTTATTCAACGACACACGTGCATCCGTTCCGAGAACGCCAGTCCGAAAGAATAGCACTTGGAGCCGAAAAGAATAGCACTTGGAGAGCAATCCACATATCCACGAAGAATAAAGACAGTGCAATTGGCATTTCCCATCAAAGAGTACCACGCGCTCCCTGACGCACGCACCTCCCACTGCTTGTACACGTTGAGCAAGGTCAAATGGTCGCTCTCGGGCACGAAAAACTTTTCCCGTGCGGCGTCCGACTCTTCTTCGCGGTCCTTGGGGCGGAAAAATACACTCGGGACACTCAGCATCGACACCACGATCAGGACTTCTGCCGTACAACCCAGCGTTTCTGAAAACAACAGCATCTTGGCAAGTGGCGGGTCCAGTGGAAACGTGATCTAATAGCTGTCCATGTCAACAACGGCACTCAACAACAACAGAGCCATCATGAGCGTCCCAATCCAGGGTTTCAATTCGTCCTCACATATCGAGACGCACCATGCGCTTGCCCATTTCCGTCAGCTCGCCCGTGTTGTCGAGCGCGCCAAGCACCCACAATTGGTACATGGAATTCGTTATATTGTCTTGGGGCGGCGGGTCCATAAAGTCAAACTCGAGCAGGTTCTTCACGCCGAGCGACTTTAGCAAGAGAACGATGTATCCCAAGTTGGTGCGCTGGATTTCCGGCACTTGGGCATCCATCATTTCGTTGCAAAATTGGCGTTCCGTGTACAAGCGGTAGCACACGCTAGAAATGGACATCAAGACGGAAAGACGAAGTGCATTTGGAGAGAGGTCGGGTCACGATCCGAAGACAACCCTCGATGCAAATCGCCTCCAGCGATACATCCAGTGGGGTAGCATGCATGTGTGCTCAAACGCCAGCGATTTTATGTGCAAACATGAACAGTTTCACCAAAAAACTTTCAACTTGCTGCCAGCACACACGAATTGGGAAGTTAAATAAGTGCCAAAACAATACCAGGCGCTGCACAATTTTAAATCGTCACAGGTTGCACGAAAGACCATCGCGCATTCAATAGCGTACCCTGGCCCCGTTCGCCCGGCGCGTCCGGCACGCTGATTCGCATTTTGCTGCGACACGGGCGTAATTTGAAGCGCGTCCATGCCAATGCGGGGGTTGTACACCTTGATTTTGCAGAACCCTGCGTCAATCACATACCTAGGCAGAGGTCGCCGTTAGATCGCTTCCTAGCCATGCATCCCAACGACAGCGCACGATGCTGTACCGGATCCCGTCAACAGTTAGACTGGTTTCAGCAATGTTGGTCGATACGATGCACTTGCGAATGTCGCTTGCGTCGAAAATTTTGGCCTGCAGATCGGCGGGCAGCTGCGAGTACATGGGAAGGACCATGAGCGGCGGCGCGCCGTCGACTTTACCCATGCGTTCAGCCAAAACGTAGCAGGTTGCTTCAATGTCTTCTTGGCCCGTCATGAACACAAGAATGTCACCCTTTGGGTGGCTCAAATGGATGGTCATCACTTGCTTCACGGCCGCGTCGACGTAGTCTTCCGCCGGCGATTTCGCATACATCCTAGTGGTTGCAAGTTGTCGTCAGGTATATAAATTCTCTGTATCACGTGCACACGGATGGAAGCGCATTGCCCAGCCATGCCACGACAGGTGTGCAAAAACCACATCACGTTGTGCCGATGGAGCGAACACTTACGTGTCTACTTTGAACGTACGCCCGGGAATGGTGAAGAGCGGGACACCGCCAAAAAAGTTGGCGAATTTTTCCGCGTCCAGAGTCGCGCTCGTCACGATCAGTTTAAAATCACGCCGCCGCTGCACCACCTACAACAGCGCCACCGCAACATTGAGCAGGTCGTCGCGCAGGCGAGTCCATGGCACTTGTATACTCGAGCAAGCCATATTCAAAACCAGACTCCAATCCCACGTCAGGTTTTTGGGAAAACACACACACAATCGGCCCCGTGGTACCTTTCGCAAGATTCCAAACAATACGTCCGTGTTTAGCGCTCGTTCGTGCGCTTCGTCCATAATGACCGCGCTGTAGCTGTCCAAGTCGGCTTCCCGCAGCGACTCGCGCAGGAGCACCCCCTCCGTCATGTACTTGATGATGGTCTTGTCGCAAGTCAAGTCTTCAAATCGAATTGCATACCTATTCTCCATCACAAATTCAGCAAGGACGGCCTCCACGGGCCAAGCTCGGATGTTGGCAGCTTGATAAAACACTTCAACGCGTCCACATGAAACGCAGTGAGATCGAGGAAGCCGCGCATGGACACACCGATCGAGGCGATCCCGTTTTTGTGCAAGCCCCTCCGGAACAAAAACGCCACGACATCCTCGAGAGCGACGCTGCATGAGTCAACTAACGTACCCGCACTCGTCGCCAAGATTCACACCCATCTCCTCACTGACGCGCTGGGCCACCGACATGGCTGCCACGCGGCGCGGCTGGGTGCACCCGATCGTTCCAAACTTGGAGTACCCATCTTCGTGCATGTACTAAATAAACAATACAGCCACAACGCCGTCATGTTAGGTGGATTCGATGGGTCGAGCGGCTTCGCTCGCTTCATGCCATTCCATGCATGGCAGCATGGACGTGAATCAAGTTTAGATCGTACTTGGGTTAACTGGGTCGTTTTCCCGCTGCCCGTTTCCCCAACAATTACGACAATTTGATTGTCTCGGATCACTTGCATGAGCTCGTCGCGGCACTGAAAGATCGGGAGGTACCGCCGTTGCTCTGCAATCGTGTGGGACTTGGCAAACTCGCTCACCTACCAGGCGTCACCGACCCCCCGCGTTAGGAATGCCTGCTACGACATGGAGTCGGGAAATTCCATGGCGGTACAGCCAACGCGACTGGCATAGCCGACTAGGTACAGCCAACGCGACTGGCATAGTCCGACTGGACAAGCAACTTGCTCGCAAAATCGACAACATCAACAATGTGCCGCCTACCGCTTGAATTTTCTTCTTCATGTGGGTCGAAAATTGGCTCTCGTTCTTGTAATTCAAGTCGTCGTCGACTGCATCAGCAGCGGCGGGCAACGCATTCCCGTCTTCGTCGACGTTCGTGTCGGGGGCAGCAATTCCCATGACGTCGCCCATGCGGGACCCACCGAGTTCCCAAAACCGCTTGCGCATTTTCGAGCGTTCGCGCTGATCGCGCACTTCGCGTAGCAACTCACTGCCTTTGCGCGCGCACACGGCCAAGTCGGACGTGGCATCTTTCACTGTCGCAACCATCTCCACCTACAGTCCAACGTCACGAACGACGCACGAAAAACGATCGCACGATAAACGCAAGTCATGCGCACAATGTGAGACATGTGCAGAGTGCCACAAGTTACAGCACGAACCCCGGTCGCTTAACACGAGATGAAGACAGCACGGACATAACGTCCATAGCTTCTGAAAATCGCAAATTCAAAACCAGTTCTGTAGCCTCAAAGCACGCGTAAAAGGCCACACGCCTGTCGGTCTGTCGCCGCCACGCGGGCAACACTGGTGGAGTTTACGCGTCCCGAAAAAAACCCAATTCGAGCCATGGCGAATGGAAACCAGCATTTCGACGGGACATCCTCGACACTGCCACGACCGACGACACGTCGTCCGAGCCCTACCTGGGTCGTGAACGACACGCGGCCGTCCAGAAATGGCGGCTTTGTGTTGTGCACCATGATTTGCACGCGCGCGTCCAGCTCGTCGTCGAATTCCGTGTCGACTTCGGTCGTCGCCATCACGCCACTCGTCAGGAGTCGGTTGTTCTCCCACGCTTCTTGGTCTTGGTTGAGCGCCGACGCGCGTGCAGACTTGCCACGCAACTTGAGCTCCCCTATCGCGGCGACCACATTACGGCGATGCTCCCACAATGTCGTTGCAAAAACGCACGGGGTGTCGGCGCCTGCGCGCCACTGACCCACACAAACAAAAAGAGAGTCACGATCGTGCTGCAAATCCCCGCCATGGACGCGCCATATTGACCGCAAAATCGCTCCAACACGGATGAACATCGACACATGCAACACGACCAACGGCGAAAAACGACCCATGCTGTGGTGGACAAAACTGGTGGGCGACGAGCTACGTCCACGAGCAACGACGTCATGACGTTCCCGCCACTCCAGACTACTCCAAGAAGGAGCACGCATCGAAAGTTCAGCCAAAGTGGTTGACAAAGTGCATCCAACGTGGGGTCAGCGACGCCCATTTCAACTCCAGCAGGAAGGGCTTGCTCCGTCGCACCGAGCTGGACTCCACCGCAAGACGTTGGCGTACCGAACATGATCTTCACTATGCGGTGCCACGCAACGCGATTCCCACGGCAGGGTACATGCAAAGACACGAGTTGCAGCACGTCGACCAGCACAAGCGTGAAAGCACCTCAATGCACGTGCGACGAACTCAGGCAGTACCTCGCTGACGTTGGCGCAGCATTTCTTCCTCTTTTTTCTGAAACTTGGCCTCGTTGCCGACAAACGAGTCGTGCGCGAGCTCGTCGCCCATGTAAAACTGCCGATCGAAGCTTTCTTCTTCGTCGTCGTCGTACGATTTCTTTGCGAGATCGCCGCGGCCCAAATGATGGCGGGTTTCTTTCGCCATCAAGTCGCCACCTCTTGCCAAACTGGACATCGCCGCTGACGTCGATGGAGTGTCGCGGCTGGGCGTGGACGACGCCGATGATCGCATTGGAGACCTGGAGAATACCCATCACATCATGCGATGGTGTGCTGGACGTACGGGGTCGGCGCGTCCCAATCTGATTGCTTCGACGTCGAATGCAGCTGCTCGGGTTCTTCCCAATCGCTTGAATTCAACCCAAGCCCCGATCGAGTGCTAGATGGTGCTGGTGACGGCTTCTCAACCCATGTGGACGGTGTGGACGCGGCCGACAAAGTTGACGGTGTGGATGGCACGGACAAGTCCCGACGACTGCTGGTGCATACATCCATGAGGGGAGACTACAACGAGGTTTGGTATACCTGGTAGGACTAGATCGACGTGATGAACGACGATGATCACTGAATTCACGGGACGATTCGCGGCTTCGATCATGTTGTGAGGACACGATGGGAAGAGTGCTTCGATGAAGCACGTACCGAGGGGTTTCTCGATGTCGGGAATCGCGAGACGTGTCGGACTTGCCATCTCTGGAGTCACGTCGATAGGAACTGCTTCGTCGGGGGCTCCGACGAGGACTCCAACTTCGGCTGCGGCGGCGATGATCCCGGCTGCTCATGTCCCTGCACGCTTGCAATTGTGATTCCTCTATGAATACATACCTGTTGCAAATGATATTGTGTGCATTTCCATACAACATTGCAGAAAACCTGTTTCATTTCATATTGCGTTGTTTTCGGCGACAGCTTGACTGACGATGCTCCTCTGAGCGTCACAGCGCCTTCCTTATGTGACGATTGCACTGAGGTACGAAGTGTGCATGGTTGCGCGTCATGACATGGTCCCACAACCAGCGACATTCAATGGTTGCGAACAGACTTGGTACTGGTTCGCATCCAGCACATGTGTGTGCAGACCCCCATGACGGACGAGTCCACCCTCACCCGGTTTATCTGAATTATCACTTGATCTCAACGACGAGCCAATATTGGTTCAAGGTAGAAAGCTTGCCGCTTGACAACATCCTCGAAGTACTCGGACCTGGCTGCTGCATCCTCCACCACGAAAGACGACAAACTCTTGTGCGCAGCTTACGCCACGGGCAGCAGATCGTCGTACGGTTTTCCCTCAAACACGCCAAAACGTTCATCCGCGTCGCTTCCGACAACTGAGACAACCACGAGCCTCTCGAGCTCCTCGGTATTCTGTCGACTTTTTGAAGGGGAAAAGCTAACTTGCGCGTGTTTTTTGGATATAATAGAGACTTTTAGCAAGTCCGGAATTTCACCAGTTTACAGACTATTGACTTCCTTCGATTTTGCTGAAGTCTGAAGTGCGAAGTCTGATGAATTCCAGTTTAGCAAGTCTAAAATGAGCTCACGCCATTCTTCGAAATGCAACCTCATCAACACCGATTCATCCACCGCTCTCGCTTGCCT